TGAATCATCATAACTTCAGAGCTAATATGAATCTTGAAGATTGAAGGACAGTCTCTGTAACGAGTTATTTCCAGGACAGTTTTCAGACAATGTAAACATCAGTTTTTGAGATCATGCAAACATCAGGGCAGACCCAAATTAAAAAACGATCAAGTTGGAGTTTCTGGATCTACAAGTTCGACTGGAGACCAGAAAATGGTTTTAACAGTTTTTTGTCCACTGTTTCATTTAGGCGAACTATGTTCTTCATAAGCATTGATACATCAAAAGGCAGGATTCTTAAAGATAATCCTATTGATTAACGGCACTTCGAATGCAACAACATTCATTTTCTATTTTAAAAGGCTTTGAATTTGTGGGATTTTGTTCGACATCAGTACACGCTGTAGGTAAATTTGATGATTAATTTAAAAATTTTGAACTCGAAAATTACTCCGAAAATAATTTCCAAGTCCCATAAATGTTAGGCTTAATACAAAAAAAGAAAACCAATAAACTTTTATTTTGAAGTTTATCCCAAGACCAGGGTGAAGATTTGGATGGAGACCAAAGTCAGAATAATTTGCTTGGTAGCGCAGTAAATTCAGGTTAGTCGTATACGAACGACTGAACCCAGCCCTACATAGCTGCAGAAAAAATAATGAGGGACCTTAAAGTTTTAAATCAACACTTCGGTAAATCTGTAATATCGCAAATATTTCAAAAACTTACAATTATTTCAATTGATAAAACAGGAAATTTACGCACCATTAAACAAGAAAGCAATCCGAATAAACAAATTAGGTGCCGGTTGGAATTCCGAATAATAGACCGAAGGGCCCACCGGAGTCGCTGTTATTCAATCGAAACGAAACTAATCAGTTTAATAGGAATGAAACAATGAGCTAAATCATATCGCAACCTAAAAATTTGCTTCAATTTATCAGTGTAGCGACAGATTACTGCCTGGTATCTATACATTGAAATCTTTTGACACCAAGCGATAATGTAGTAATTTCAAGCGGCAATTTAGAAGCCATTAAAGGCGAAACGGAGTAGAAGGAATGAAGTGCTTACTTCAATAAAAAGAAGTAATTCAACTTAAAAAGCACGAGGCTCTTCAATAAGGTTAAGAACATTTATTGTAGTAATAAGCGAAAGCTCTACAGAACCAATATGGTCAAGACAAGGGTAAGGCAACGCCCACGGAGTTAAACTAGAATTTAAGACCCACCCTAAGTAAAGCAAGCTCAACCATGTAGTTCAAACGAAAATGAATCTAACGAAAAACAATGAGTGATCACCAAAACAAAAAATATGAATTACGAAGGCATGGCTTTACACACTACTGCCGGAGCAACAGTAACATGGATGTTTACACCCTCTAGTCGTACTGCATACAAACCTATAGGTATATACAAACCCTTACCGTACCTATCAATAGGTAAGGAGAATAATAACTCAAAATTCACAGCCTAAATAATTCGGAAATTTCCAACACAAGTCAGAGGAGCTGTGTTATCATCCTTAATTAACAATAGCAATCATCCAACACCGCATGACGATGCTGGTGCATTCTTCCAGCACCACATGACGATGCTTGTGCATTCTTCCAGCACCACATGACGATGCTGGTGCATTCTTCCAGCACCACATGACGATGCTGGTGCATTCTTCCAACACCGCATTGGCAACAAGCAAACATTGGTAACATCCTAGTTCTTGCTGCACCCTAATTGTAGGTGTCAACGAATATTTAACAGGAGCTTTTAAGAAAACAATCCATCAAACGAATTAGCCTTAAAATTTTCTGTTTGCCCGTATTAGAACGCAAATGAACAGATATGAACGAAGACCACTAACCCTGAAAATTCCCATATCATTCGCGGTATAATATATTCCTGAAGCAGCGAGAATCTCAAATATCATCGGTGGGGAATCTGGATGAAGTCGGCGGATGAATTTCTTTCCGTGTGGATGAAGTCATCGTCGGCGAGAACGTGGCTGCCCGTACCGAGTTAATTAACTGGTCAATTAGGCCTCCTTATAACGAACATGTCAGCAGGAGTATATTTTTATAGATAAATCATTAAAACATAATTAAAGCGCTCTGACGAAACAAGCTTTACTCTTTATTGTGCTTATAACATTCGTCAAGATGGACGGAGACAATCCGTAAATCCGATAAAAATGACTGGAGAGTGAGAAACTTCGGAACCTAAGGAAAATTGCGATTCATTCCCCAATCCGATCAAACTCACAGTCCAGTGAAGAATATCATTCCACAGTCCAGAAACAGTAGCATTGCGAAATCATGGGTCAAATTTTCCCGAATGTGCAACTATAGGGCCTACCATGTTTCTTAACCCCCAAGGCGTAAAAGAACATTTACTGAAATATAATAAATTCTCCGGCAGACCGACTGACGAAAGTGCTGTTGCCCAATTTAATTCATTATAAATGAAACGAATCCCACTGAAAAGTAAGTAGCTAAACACATATTTTCTGCGTCAAGGACGTGTGTAAATAATGTGAACGCAAGTTATAGAAGGCGTGGCAGCTTCATTCATGTATTTCATCAAGGGAACGATCAGTGATCGATGCACAGGCATTCAACCAACGAGCAAACATGTCAAAGCCCAAAATCCCAAATGGACGAATTTAAAGGCAATCTAATCGCACCTTTTTTTATTCACTTCCAAAAATGAATCATACGCCCGAGATATACGCAGGCACAGGCTGCGCATGTGTCAGAGTAATAACATGCATACAATCATGGAAGAGATAGACTGTTCATTACGGTGGTCAGAAGGCTATCACGCAAAATGTTACCCGGCAAATGATCGGTTAGTACCTAACGAACGTGCGGTGCAACAAAAAGCAAGTTACTTACAAGAAAAATTTATTTTCATAAAACGACTCGACATGATTTCAAGAATCCACGGTAACTTTACGATTCTCATAATAAAAAATTGACGTACCCTCTAAAAATAAAATGCATGCGCATCGAATCGAAATATTTAATAGTTACAAGATGGACTTACATTATCCTCCAGGTGAGAAGTTCAATTGCGGCACACTATTTCTGATCAAATTTCGAAGACCATCAGCTTTGACGGGGCAAATAACTGGCCGAGTAAACATTTTCAGGAAACTTGACAGTCAGGTCGTAGTTTAAAGCAGCACGGCACTACCAGCTTTACTGACCACCACACACTACGAAGTCTCCACTGTGACTGCCAAAGTGCCGACTGCCGTAATTCGTAAATGCTATTGCGGTGCTCTCGCTGACTGTTTGCCGGAGCAGATCATAAGTGAATGATCCGGAATTCGTATTGAAATGCGACAAAAAAAATAGTAGAAGAAATCGCACTGATTTTTTTATGCTACTCAGCTCAATAGCTATCTGCTATGCCATTAAAGAGCAGCAGTTTGAATGATCATTTCCTAAGTAAACTATTTCATTCATTGTTAACGGTTTTACAATCGAATAAATACCGAATACCTTGATAGCGCTCTTCACTTCGCAGCGTGAAGACGCTATCAAGAGAGTTCTTCGCACTCTCCCACTTCGCAGCGCTCTTCAAACAATACTAGGTGACGACCAGTAATGCCCGATACATTATGGAGCACATAACCAGTTACCTCGCGAATCATTTTCTAAGCTTGGCCGACGAATCTTTCGTGGACCGAATCGACACTTCTCCGAACCTCACTGTTGGTTTCTGTTCGACAACCTCTGTCTTGCAAAATTGATTTCTGATAGAATAAAATAAAAGTGTCGGCCCTGAAGAAATAGGCCCTTGGCCTGTTGCCGATTCTTGAATTTTTCGTGACTTGATTCACAAGGGATCCGGCCTTTGGAACCCGATCTTTCCATAACTGACGATTGATTGAGATAGCTGCTGGACTTTTTGCCTGATCCGTAATTTGCTAGGCATTTTAAGACTGACCATATGCTCCTGCATAACTTCCTCTAGTCTGTTCTTGAAGGCGTTCATACTCGGAGCGTCAACGATGCTATCAGGGAGGCTGTTCCACATGTCGGTGGCTCGAAGCGAGAAGAAATGTTGTCGCATGGATATGTTACAACGCAGTTTTTTAGTTTATAGCCGTGGCCCCTGATGTTGGTTCTTGTTTCAAATTCTAGTAATCCTTCTGGGACCTTGTATAAGCCATGAGTATACTTGTATGCTTCAATGAGTTCCCCACGCAGACGTCGATAACTGAGGCTCGGAATCTTCATAAACTTTAATCTTTCCTCATAGGACTTGCCTTTCAAGCCCAGAATTTTCCTTGTTGCACGTCTTTGAACACTCTCTATTAAATTTTTGTCCTTTTCAAGTTTCGGTGACCACACGACGATACTTACCTTAAAACAATTAAAAATTTAACGTAAAAAAATGTGATGGATAACTTATCAACATGAGTGAGATGTCATTCACGAGGTCTGAAAGTACTTGAATGGACCCTACTCATCAATCCATTTAAGATTTTATCAAATTTATGTCAGTGCGTACTAAACATGCTTTGCTGGTAAAGGTAGTTATGTTTGCTTACGATTCGCATAGATATTACCAACTTCGATGAACTACCACGGAATATAATAAATGAATCCAAGTTGTTTAGATGCAAAAAAAAAATTCTATCAAATTTGTGAAAATCGCGTACCGGTAGTCCGGTACTACATCAGCTGTTCGTTCAACGCGCAATTTTTGAAAGCCAGAATTAGAATGTTTACATTTGATTTACTGACACCTGCCACTTGCAGAAACTCAGCAAGTGTCGCAGCATCGTTACCTTAGCGCTGAAGTTATTGAGTGCAAGTGTATTCATTTCAAAAGTACTAAGCATTTTGATTTTACGTTCTCAGTATATGAATCGAATGCGCTTGTCAGGTGTAGGCTCTGCCCGTCTGCCGTTCTAACTTCTAGCCAGAAGGGCAGAAGCCAGTGCCCAGTGGGCCAGTACTAGCCCAGTAGAAGCCACTATCCAGACTCCAGCCTAGACTGCCAATATGCATATGCGATGATATGGTATTGCAAAAAGATTGAGTCTGCAAGAATTTGGCTGATACTTCTTTGAAATGGTAAATACTCAAAATAAAATGAATTTTTTCCCCAGATATTTAATGGCAGTATTTGAAACTTGAACTTTGTATTTGTTTGTTGTATACTGTATAGTGTATAGAACTTTATTTTTGTAGGTACTTCAAAGTTCAAATGGAGCCTATGGAGGGTGCAGACTGCAGAGATTGGGTAAAGATTTAAAGAACTTTTACCAAACATAGGAATACAAATTTATGTCTTTAGAAGGTCTTACAGGCATATTTCTTGTAAGATATCTCTTTACAATTAACATTAATTCAAGTCAGGAAATTTTGAAGGTTTAAGCAGTTGTGGTGAAAATCCTTAAAAATACTGACACTACACTTTGACTTTGGGCCAAACTGAGTTTGGGCCTGTAAGTGTAAGGCTGTATTATTTTGCCTGTATATAATGCCTACGCAGCCTGCGGCCCTGCAGGGCTGCAGCCTGTCTTGGTAACACAGTTACCAAAGTCTGTGTAGTGGCTCTAAACCAAGATTAGAATTTTTCAACATGATTCTGAAATACCTATTCAACCAGCAACCTTATGGTTCTAAACTCTGAAGTAACATTTTCAATGAATTTGAAATCTCATGGCTTGATAGCTTGCTTTATTTAAGATTCAGATAGCTTGATGGAAAACTTGAACAGATATACAGTCAAATGGGGTAAGACAGGATCGCAGCCTTCATGGGGTAAGAAAGGACCAGCCCATGGCGTGCATTCTAATTGCACTGAATTCAATTTGACAAAAGAATATGTTAGAGCAGTCATTGCCTGTCATTTCAGTGTTTGTTTCAACCCTCTTCTGCAAATAATGAATTTCTGGCTAATTTTCAAAGAAAACCTATGTAAAGAAGGGTCACAAAATAGTTAACCCTGTTTGGGAAATAAGCTCTGTCTAATGACAAAAAATTTTTTGGCCAGGTTTGTGGATGTAGGCAGGTAACCTCAAGTAATAGGCAACTTTTTAGACATACTAGGCATTTCAACTTGCTACCATCACTGCCTGACATGCATTCCAAAATGGGGTAAAAAAGGACCGGACATGGGGTAAGACGGGACCACTAAATGATCCTGTTTTACCACACAAGTGGTCCTGTCTTACCCCACAAATGGTCCTCTATTACCCTACAGTTTATCAAAAATAGTTTTTAAATGAATATATTATTGTGTAGTACATGGAGTATTTTGGTCAAAATTTCTATCTTTTGCTCAAACTTCATTATAACTTGTTAGCTTTTTTAATTAGAGAAATTTAGTGCACTATTTTAAATTGCATCAAAGGGATATAGAAAATAGGGATGTCTATTCCCATTAGTGAACTGGCTGCAGAACTATGTGTAAGATTAGGTGGGGGAAAAATCACTGTGTGAAACATGAAAAATAATTATGAACAAAACTCTGTGACAGGGCATGAGCTATGTTTGAAGAAGTGCACCACAAATGCAGTTAGCAGGAAAACACATGACATCTGATACTTTTTATTACTGACATCTGACACTTTATTTTTATTACCAATTTGATACATTTTTCAGACAATGACACTAATGGAATATACATGAAGCATTTAGCAGTGCTCTACAATGAACCAAAGCCAACCCACTATTACTATGCTTAACAAAGTTTTCTCGTGACAAAAACTTCAATGCGACTGATATTAGAGTTGACTTCCCGCAACATAAAACAGTAACAAGTGGTTGTTTAATCAAATAATGTGGTTCTAGATGGATAACATTGAATATCAGATTTGTACTTTTATTATAAACCTTGTAACATAAGAATTACCAGTTGGTCCTTTCTTACCCCAGCCTGGTCCCATCTTACCCCAATGGGGTAAGATGGGACCGGCTCACTTTTTTAAATCTGTACAGAAAACTATGTTAGATGCAAAACGTCTGAGTTGTAGCTTAGAAGCCCATTGCATAACTACACCTTGTGATAGGTTTAGGGTTTTTTAGTTATTCATGGTATAGATGCTACAGGCTTGTTAGTGATTTTGGTCCTGTCTTACCCCATTTGACTATACCTATTACAACCATTTCAATATTTAACATATAGATATAGAGGCTATAATAGACTAGGCTATAGAGTGTTAGAGCCTCACTTGCAAAAGTTTGGAGCTCTCTTCTCAGTCTTCTGACACTTCAGAGCCTTGGCATTTTGGCTGATGGCCTCAAATTTAGTACCTAGGTACTGCAACTTCAAAGACTAAATCACAGTACTTTTACTCTGTTATAGGTATTCTGGTTTTGGTATGACATAATTGTAATTGAAATAATTTCAGTACCGTACTAGTCTACTTGCAGTTGCAGAAGTTTCTCATAATATTATTACTCATATGGTTGCAAATTATCAGAGGCTACAGGCTACAGCCATTACTACTTACTAGTTCAGGTAAATTGATCAATTGGGAATGGGTAGTTTAAACTTGTATATTATTAAAGGGTCAAACCATACTGACTAAGCATTCTGGATTTCTGGCTAGGTGGCACTATTCTATAGATACTCTAGTTGGAACTTTCAAGCTTGATAGCATTCAATGAAATGCCTCTGCCTATAAATAAATTAATTGAGAAATTCCTATTTGATGTATTGGTAGCTTCCCTTGCAATTTTTTGAAATGCAACTAAATATTTTGTAAACTTCCTTTGCAAATGTTTATCTAACAATTTAATTCAAGAGCAGTTGGTGTGTGGTATGCTATATTGGTATTTCATTGTCTTGTTAATGGTATAAAATTTAACTAATGCTTCCTTACTGCAGAGACGAAGTCTGGCTCCCAGTCAGCTCCAAAAACGACCAAATGATGAGTCTCCTCCACTACAACAGGGTAAGAGATCTCTCAAGAGAGCCCTGGTTGACAAGAATGAAGATTTCAAACCAGGAATTGCCATTTCTCCATTTCGTGCTCCTCTGAAGGATTTGCCACCACCATCATCTGCCAATATTGAGCGCAGTAACTCCTCCATCTCTGCTCACGTGAGAAATACTTTTCAGAATTCCAAATCAATTTTTAGATTCTATATTTTAGTTTTCTATGTTTTATATTAACATGTCAAGTGCCACAGGACCCCCCCCCCCCGTGGGTTGTACCACTGGTATGAAATACGCCCTGATCACAACATAGTAGCCGCACTTAGTGTTAAGTTATGCCTCTATAAAATAAGCCTGAACAATGTGCTTGTAAGAAAATGAATGATGGAATTAATTGGGATGCAAGATTTTCAGTTTCCAAGTCAAGAGCAATATTCATAAATTATATTCTGAAATTAATTAAAACTCTTGAGGTCACTCAAATTTTCTTGACTAATTCAACTCATTTTTTTTATTTCAATGTATTTATTTGATAAATATAAACAGTAATATTTTCTCTCATTTTCTCCTGCCAACCTTGTGGGCCAGTATTATCATTAATAATTATGATATGGTTATTTACAGATGATTCCTGGATTTAGTTTGAATCTCATGATATATTGCTATTAATTTTCACCCCCAGGAAGCTTTGATCCGGGAACTTCTAGCTAGACCATTCAAAGTTCCGCTCTCCAACTACAGTGGCAGTGGCTACCAACGTAGCCTTGGTCTGCGGCGCTCAGGTGTGAGGCGGCCATTGCACGACCCTGACGCTCCAGGAGCTCTGGTTCTGTTCAATCCACCTCAGATGTCTCAGCATCAGAAGTTAACTTCTGATGGGCAAGTTTTTTAGTCCTCAGTTCTTACTCCATTAAGATATCTGATCTATTGTTGAGAAATTTAGAAAACTGATTTTTTTTGCTGAACATTTTGCTTCATTGTATCATACAAGAATATAATCTTTATATTTTTTATCAAAATAATTTTACTCTGCAGATCAAAGCAGCAGGTGCATGTTGTGGTAGACCCTATGCTGGGAGACATTTTACGTCCTCATCAACGAGAGGTCAGCTCCAGTCATGTCGTTCATAAATCTTTCTGTTAATAGTGGTAGTTTGTTCAGCATTTATGTCAAAAAATGTTCTATGTTATTCATTTTCTGTACAGGCGGGGAAAGTGTGCTCAATCTGTGTGATTTTTTAATTGCTACTATTTATTTCCAAGTTAAAATTTATTTCTGTTACTAAAATTCTTTTAAACAACCGATGATTCGAACGGTCATACTAGAAGATGAGGTTATCTTTGTATCATGCAGTTGGTGTTGATGTGCTTCTGATTAATGTTTAGGGCTTATGATAATTGTTAGACGAAGTTGATGTGAAGCGCTAGAAATCTCCCCCCTACGACTACTACTACTTATGATAATTGTAATGAAGTTTTACGTGATTTTGATCTTGGGAAACGTGTAAGAGCTTAGTACCTTCATGACACCGTTGGCGATGCAGGGCGTGGCTTTCATGTACGACTGCGTGACGGGTAAGCGCATCCCCGGCAGTTGGGGTTGCATCATGGCCGACGAGATGGGCTTGGGTAAAACGCTGCAGTGCATCACGCTGCTGTGGACGCTGCTCAAGCAAGGTCCTGATGCCACTCCTACAATACAGAAAGCAATGGTCGTGTGTCCGTCATCTCTAGTTAAGGTGAGAATGCGAACTATGAAAATTATTATGTTCTTATGAAACCGAATTTGCTCTCTTGTATCATCCTGAGTTGCAGGTATACACGTTTTTCACGCATTTTTTTCGCAATAGGGTCGATGAAAAACTTCATTCCCACTCTGTTTTAAACGTTTTCTTAGTTGCAATTAGAATTTAGTTAGAAAAAACGTAAACCTTAAACATTTCCCATTTGCTGTATTTTGTCGAGAGTAGAACTGGCATAACGAGATCAACAAATGGCTGAAAGGTCGTCTGAGTTGCCTTCCTATCGACTCCGGGTCCAAAGAAGACATCGACCGCAACCTGCGCGGTTTTGCCGAGACCTACGGACGGCGTCCCGTCAACGCCGTACTCATCATCAGCTACGAGACCTTCAGGCTGCACGCTCACGTCCTCAATAACCACGACCTCGGACTCATTCTTTGTGATGAGGTTCTGTTGTTAATGCAGGGAATAACTGCAATGCATATAATGCGTTAATACGAAAAAATGCTGAACATTTTATTGGCGTGTTAATTTGAAATATAGCATTTCATGCCAATAGCGAAGAAGTATTTCGCTAATTATATGTCTTGCAATGGTATCATTTTTATATCAAAAATTATTTGGAAACCATCTCTATGTTGGGTAAACAATTCCATATTAAATTAAATTACATTACACATTTATTGAGTAAAGAATGTATGGGTAATTAATCACTACATTGTAACTGCAGGGGCACCGGCTCAAGAATAGTGACAACCTCACATACCAGGCACTGATGGCGCTAAAAACCGTCCGCCGAGTACTGCTGTCAGGCACGCCCATACAGAATGACCTCCTCGAGTACTTCTCCTTGGTGCACTTTGTCAATGCAGGTACCAGGGTATTTCAGTAGTATCTACTACTACGCTGATATTGATAGGCGTTCCGTAGTTTCAATTGGACAAAATTTGAGTGCCACCAAAACTGCCTTAAATATTAAAACAAATGTAGTATTTAAAGTGAAGATTTAATAATCTTAATATGGTGATTAAAGTGTCAATGTTCCCGAACGCAGGTATTTTAGGTACAGCACAAGAGTTCAGGAAGAGATTCGAGAATCCCATCTTACGGAGCCGCGATGCAGACGCGTCTGACGCTGAACATCAGCTGGGCAAGGAGCGTCTTGAGGAGCTCACTACCATCGTCAACAGGTGCGCCCTGAGCAGCTTATTACATACGTACTACTTGTGAAATATCTGGGAGCAAAAAAAATAAATACATCTCTATACGATTCTTTAAGCTCCAGATGCCCGTAATGTTTCTGGTTATAGGTTTGCGATAGGTACCAAATTTAATATTCCTTCCAAGATCTAGAACGCCATTAATTGTGATCATTAAACTAAAAAGTAAGTCTTGAGTTTACTTATCGTAAAGGGTGTGCGAGGTTATTGCTATGCACTGCTGGATATTATAGATATTTAGCCTGATTTGTCCCTACTAATTGCGAACTTTTTTGAAGTACGATTTTTTTATACAGATGTTTGATCCGACGAACCAACGAGCTGCTGTCCAAGTATCTGCCTGTGAAGTACGAGTTTGTCGTGTGTTGCCCTCTCACGCAGATGCAGCAATCGCTATACCACCTGTCTCTTATACACATCTAGATGTGTATAAGAGACAGCTGTGGTAGTTTGCAGCATTCATCCTACCATCTATAAGTGATATGTTACCAACACCTTTTGCGGAGAAACAGCTCCAGATCATGATGTTGCCACCACCTAAGTACGAGTTTGTCGTGTGTTGCCCTCTCACGCAGATGCAGCAATCGCTATACAACGCATTCGTGCAGTCCACTCACGTCAGGAGACAGTTACAAGGTCAATAAATAATGATGCATACTTTTTTGGTTGCTGTTATTCTAATAATTGACGAGCATGGGTAATAAAATTCTAAAATTCTTACATCTTTCCATGCATCTGAACTAAACGTATCACTACAGAAATTTTATTAGCATTCAAGGAGTTCAAGGGCCTACAAAACTCATTTCAAAACTTTGATTGCTAATGTCGGCTGTGGATTGTTTCCTTTATTATGCTCCTGGTCGTGAATAACAAAAAGTTCGTATGTTTATAACGTTGTATGTAACGTTACAGGCATTGAAGGAAGCAAGGGTAGCGGTAGTGCCCTCACAGCCATCAACAGCCTCAAGAAGCTCTGCAATCACCCAGACTTGCTTTGGGATAAAGTAGCGGCGCGCGAAGATGGATACGAACAATTGGCCAAGTTTTATCCTTCAAACCACGACACCAAGTTTGTTTCTGAATTTCATTGTATGCTGATTAATTATAAATATATTATTAATATGTTAGTCGATAACTAAATCGATGAAGTTCTTTAATTTATAGTTCTTCAATGTGATGAAGTTTTTATCCATGTGAAATCATCGTTCATTTGGCTCAGAGGTGCCGTGGACGTCTCATTGTCTGGGAAAATATCCCTGCTGGACACTCTACTGGCTCACATCCGGCATCGCACTGCAGACAAGGTCGTGCTTATCAGCAACTACACGCAGACGCTCGACTTGTTCCAGCGCCTCGCACGACACAGAGGCTACAATTGCGTCAGGCTCGACGGCTCCATGACCATCAAGAAGAGAGCTAAGGTGCGCTCTCATTGACAAGCCGCGCTTACGCAGTGTAGTGTCACCTCAGGTTCATTTTCATCTCTATTGTGGAGGCTAACAATTTATTCGCATTCAGTGCCATCTCCAACTCTTTTATTCTAAATAATCCTGTATTCAGTCTATTTGCGTCTATCCAGTCAACATAGACTACTGCTCTTAAAAAGTATACGTTTTTGGGTGCAAAGCCTTCGCTATCCTGTGATTTTTTTGTCCATTCCTCGTTTTAGATGGTGGAGAAGTTCAACAGCCCGGACAGCTCGGACTTCTTGTTCCTGTTGAGCAGCAAAGCAGGCGGCTGCGGACTGAACCTGATCGGGGCGAACAGGCTGGTCATGTTCGACCCTGACTGGAACCCTGCGAACGACGACCAGGCCATGGCGAGGGTGTGGCGTGATGGCCAGACCAAGACCTGCTACATCTACAGGCTCGTGGCTGTCAGTAGTTACACCTCAGTTATACTGAATTAGAGGCCGGTGCTTTGTTAATTTTCTAAGCATGTCTTGTTTTATTTTGCTATTTTATTGAATTTAGCTGATTCCTATTCTGTATTATGTTACTGTCTCTATTCCAAGCGTAAATAATTAAGTAAATAGGAGAAGATGAAAAAATATGGTGCTTTCTTTAAATAAAACCTAACAATTTTCCGACCCAAAGTTGTATAGTGCTTGCATAGAAGGCAGCAACTAAACTAAAATATTTATAGTTATCTAATTACTATGGTGAAGGATGTGACCTCAAAAAATGAAAAGTAAAATAAACAAAAAATTTCATCAGACTGGGAGCATTGAGGAGAAAATCCTGCAGCGGCAGGCACACAAGAAGGCGCTGAGCTCCTGCGTAGTGGACTGCGAAGAGGACGTCCACCGACACTTCAGCGTCGCCCAACTGCGGGAGCTGTTCACGCTGCGCCCCGACACTGCCAGCGACACGCACGATAAGTGAGACTAGTTCTTTTGGTGACACGTGCAAGTGAGACTAATTCTTGTGGTGACACGCACAAGTGAGACTAATTCTTGTAGTGATACGCACAAGTGAGACAACCTTTAGACACGCACGTTAAGTCAGACTATTTCATGCGTAGCAGCAGCTCTCCCAAGTAAGTTTATTGCTTCGAGATATCATGGCATCCGAATGAGTGTAAAACGATTATCTTATGATAGAATAGATACGTGATAGAAAAGCATACGTGATTTCCTACCCAATCACCACAAGTGCTAGAACTTCAACTCACTTAGAACTCAACTGCACCTAAACTCGTAATGGTATGAAGGTGAGATGTAATTTCAGGTTCCAATGCCGGCGATGCGTAAATGGGATTCAGGTTCGACCGCCACCGGAAACCGCGGACTGCACGTCTGACCTCTCCAACTGGCAGCACAGCACTGAACCGCGACCGCTGCCTGACGTCATCCTCAAGCTCGCTTGGCCCACCGCCGGCGTCAGCTTTGCCTTCCATCAGCGGTCGCATGAGGCGAAAGCTGTGCCTTAGCGGTGCATTTTTCCTTTGTATTAGGTACAAAGATTGAGGCTGTTGAAGGCCTTTGTATCGCTATGTTAATATTAGAACACGACATCTTTTCGTGCACCGTAATTTATATTGCTATGTTAATATTAGAACTGGGCATCTTTTCGTGCACCGTTATTAATGCCCTGTGAAATTCTATCCTACAAGTTTGATAATACGTATCGCCTTTGTTATTAGTTACATGTTGTACAGAAGTTGCTCCTTGTTATCAATTACTTCGTATTGACTAAATATATGTAGGCTAAAGTTCGTAATCACGTACCTGAGTGATTGTGACGCTGTGCATTAAGGTTACTTAGGTTCTTCTGTAGGACAAATAAATGTATTTTACTTTGTTTTAAAACTTTTTTTGGACCTTGAAAGTACAATTTCGGAGATATGAGTGCTAATATCTGGGATTTATTTGGAACGAATATTTAACTTATTGTAGCCGAGAACTTCATGATGAATTTTTACGAGCACTCAACTAGGGGCTTAGGCAGAAAATATTACGATGCCCCTACAGCTTCTGACGACTTTGCTCGAAAAGCTTGTTAACTCCTCCTACGTAGAGTGTCGCACTCGCTACATCATAGAAACATTATCAAAGGCGAAGTTTTCTAGGGTTGTTGCATGAATTTATAATACAGTGGGGGGAAATAAATATTCGTACACTTGAAAAATCGTATTTTAATGTATGTAAGTACACAAACTTAACAGGAAAAGTGATTTAAATTATGTATAGAGACGCATAGTATTCAAAAATACTATCAAAAGAAATTAAATCTCAATGCAACAAAAAACAATTTTTTTTGTTGCATTGAGATTTAATTTCTTTTGATAGTATTTTTGAATACTATGCGTCTCTATACATAATTTAAATCACTTTTCCTGTTAAGTTTGTGTACTTACATACATTAAAATACGATTTTTCAAGTGTACGAATATTTATTTCCCCCCACTGTATTTCTGTGACGGCGAATTCAAAAGATACGGAAATTCAAACTAATTCACAAATTAACTATTTAAAAAGCCAGATATAAAATCAATTATTTAAACATGTGAATTCCGTTGGAGCAAAATTCTTCATGTAAGTACGGATTCTTGCCAAGACAGGAAAGGTATACCCTGCAGTTACTTTTGAAATTTTTAATGTAAATTATATCACAGAAACAAACAAGTAAAATGTTATAGTAATAAATAGAAAGAGAATCTATAAAGTTATAACACGAAATGTTTGAGCTAAGGTGGTTGCCGTTACGTGAGGTCATGTCACAACGAACGAGTCGAGTATCTCCATAACCGTCTGAAGCTTCCTCAGCCCTCGTGTCAAGTCACCGAACAAAACGACTCTATCGGATCCCGTCAGCAACGACAACATTCACACTTGGTAAGGTACAAAGATTCTTAAATGGAACGCATATCTTGGAAATACTTCATAAATATCGTCTTAAGGTAACAATACAACATGGAAGATTTCAAACCCCCAAAACTGCAATTGCAAAACAGCGAAACACTTACGTCGAGTGCGCCGGAAATGAGCTTGCATGTTAGCGTGTCAAGACATGGAACAATACACATTTTTCCGTTGGAATTCTGAATTGTTTGAAATATTATTGGTGAAATGTAGTAGCTCGGGGTCATTATAAACAGCAAATACTTGGATCTCTAGTCCACACTCGGTCCAAAATAATGTAGCAAGAGGAAAGATTTTTCATCTCAGAGGATGGTTGAGGCTCAAGGCAGGTTGCAAGCGCGGGTACTAAAGTCAGCGTGATAAAACAAACATCTTGCGAAATTTTCTGACGTCAGAAGTAAATGAATTTTCCTGTCATTAGAATTGTACTTAATTCATGAACTGAGAAAATATTTGTCTTCTTTCGAATAACTAGTCGGCAAAAAAACATGATTTTTCATGTGAATTTCCAATCTTATTTTCAAATAAGATAAAGTTCAGCATTTTTATCTCGAAGTTTGTTTTGTTATGAGGTGAATATTTCCAACGATTAGCGGTGATGAAGCAGAACGTTACGTTAGCTTAATGTTCATATTGTCGGAATGTTTATACGCACAGAAGGATCATATAATTAAATAATGTTCATTGAAACTGAATCTGAATCAATCGCTGAGGCGATGGTATCAATTCAGTGAAAATAATTTTGTAAACGAATTCTAAACGATGAGAATACCCTCGCTATGCACAGATAGCAAGATTTTTGTCACGATTGAACATTAATTATAATATTGAAAGCATGAGATAGTGCATTTGTTTACCATATAAACGCGATAAACTAACAATTCTTCGTGTTACAACGTGTTTACACAAAAATTACTTTCGACTAGCATCGTAAATTTTAAAAAATCCATTCGGAAATTTTTAACAGAAATACTGTCGTGACGATGGAAACGAATATATAGTTCGTTACGGTAACTGATAATAATTCAGGTAATAGAGAATTAATATCAAATTTCAAAAACTAAAAATAAATACAGGAGCGTGATAATTATCATGCAAGTCAATTTAAGAAAAATGAACAAGTAGTCCAAGGTAACGTTACGGCTCGTAAGTTCATACAGAAATAAAAACAAACATTCCTGTAAGATTCAACACTCACTTGGTCTATAACAACTAACAATGACTAACGTAATGAGAAACGTTCCAATAATAGACGGTACTAATAAATTAAAATAATTAATTCAAGTGAGTAGAATAACCTTATTCCTCGACCTAAACAAAACTTTGGATAATGTCGTTAAAGTTCATTCAATATTAACATAAATATGGTCTAAAAAACTGACTAGACATTGTATCTTAAATCTATTAAATGCAAGTTCATTTTGTTAGGGAATTCTATATCAAGCTGAACCTTCACCCTTATGTTATCGCCATTCCTGCAAAACTTGGCACCGGACGCAAAATGTTCTGCATGCCTAAACTAAAACGAATTTTGCGCGAATATCGGGATTTTTTAACCGTTAAGTATACCATTCACACTTCTGTGCTCTTCGAGAAAATTGTATTGAAATTAAAATTAATGCCTCAGGACTAGATAAGTATTAGGTGGGTAACTTATACAGTAATTTGCGTGCCGTACATAAGGCTGCTATTGGTTATTGTCGATGACCCTGCAAAAAACGCGGCGTTTGTGGCAAAGAAAAGCGCGTTAAATATTCATAAGCTTGATCTCGTCTCGCCTTCTTATTTCCATAGAAGTCGTGCTATACGTTGAATACTTTCCTATTCAATGGCACCCTAGAGTTTTCTTGAATTATTCCTAGCGATCTTGCGATTTTAACGTATAAATTCTTACTCAAGTCTCGGAAGTAATCATTACCAACAAATTTGACGCAATCATCAACAGAAAAGTTCTATCTAACGTAACTCTAGTTATCCGACAAGAGATCTAGACAGGAAGAGAGGTAAGAGAAGAGCTCGTCTATACAGCGCAGAGTAACCACTAAGTCGTCGTCCATCGAAGTATTTTACAATCATAGAAACGTCTTACTACTATTAATAGATTCCATTCCTTAATCTCTGCTGTAGTATTAACGCTAGAATTGTGAAAGCAGATATTTTTGTTTATTAATCACTGATTGCTCATCGCAAGCACAAGAAGGAGACAACAGCGAAGACGCACGGACGCTTCTTGCTAAGGACAAATAAACATGAAGGCCTCAAGCCTATCTCAAACTTGCCATCCCCGCTCCTAACTCACAAGAAACTCAAGTGGCGCTCCCGTCATGGTTTTCACAGGAGTTGCCGAACCTGGCGACTTTCGTCCAAACGAGTTTTCGGATGTTTAGACGGCGGCGAAGTTTAGTCTGAGACACGCTTCAGATTTGACTAGACTATTACACGAGATGCTTGATACATAACATGGAGACGCTGCTACGCACAACAGCGACACAGCTTTGCGTCTAACAACATTAAAGACACATTTGCATCTAAAGACGGCGACACTTGGCATCTAGAACCACAGCACACACGGCTACCGTCACGACACTCACGTGGCAGCGATGGAAATACGACAGACGAACTACGCTGGCTGAGAACTTGCGCGGTATTTGATTCCCTAAACAACAAATACGAGGTTCAGGTGAAGCATTAACATGATAGTTATTTGTAGCAAAGGAAGAGCTGAGATGTTCTTGTGCGATGAAAACCAAAACGAGCAGGTTGAACTTTTCGTGCAGGTAAAAACCATCAGAATCTAACCGAGCTTAGCATTCCGCAGTAATTAAAGATGTATAACATAATCATTAATGTTATCCTTTCCATAAATGCTTGTCTGATAGCGAATGTGATTGAGAAAATAAGCAATGTGCATTTACATCCTGATAAACATGCATAGAGTATCGAAGGGTTTCGTGCGTAAATACAATAGTCAGCGATAATTTAGATAGTAAATTTAACGATGGAACTTTGGACCTTCCTGCATACAAATTCCAAGAGGGTTTTAGTGAAGAGTATTTTTTCAAGCGTTGGGAGGTAGGTCAGTGACAATGAACTTATAAATATTAGAATAAATTTTGGTAACTCATGTTGAAAGTTACGATAATTGAACTTCTGGAATAATTCTGCCATCGAACCTTGAATAATAAACTAGTTATGAGCGTCACATACCAGCTATTAGAAATTGCCCTTCTATTTCATGGATAAACTTGCGATTTCTGCAAGATTTCATGAGAGCTGCGGCTATCTATAACACTCACACGTACGTACAAACACCAACTTCATTTCACACACAAAATCATTTACAAACGTCGTACGAGTAGGAGAGAGAGGGAGACAGCTAAAGATAAATACCTATTCTATGTTGAGCTGAACTTCGGTCTGACCGTTCGCCTGTCCCTAAAATAGTTCACAAAACTGTTATAGCCACGAGCAGTCCATGGAAGTGGTTTAGCTGTCCATATTATTCAGCCCATGGAAATGTCCAAGATATTATACTGTCAATGAAGCTGTCCATGATATTAGTCGATGAAGCTGACCACGATTCTGTCCAGTCCATGAAGCTGGACACGATAAAGTTCAGTCAATAAAGCAGTCCACAAAGTTGTCTATGTAATAGTTCAGAAATCGTTCAGGAAGCAGTCATTCAATTGACCCTGAAACTGCCCAAAGATGTATACCCTCGGGCAGTTGCCGTGGCAATTTGCAGTCAAAATAATTAAATATTCAGTAGAAATTAGATAAGTTTTTTAATTCTAGTTATTATCAAATAACATTTACATAAAGACTAGAGAATGAAGTAATTTGCACGCAAGGCAAAAAGTAGCGGTCATCACACAGTGCGAAAAATTTCACGATTTTGTCCACCTAATTCCTTGAAACATAATGTACTGGTGCACTATTATTTTCATGGGATAGATTATTAGTTTTTTAGATAATTAAGCGCCGTATTGGCAATCTTTTGCGTGTTTAATTTGTTCTTGAAAAATATGATTTGCAAATCATACAAGAATGAAAATTTAAGTGAAACGTACGAATGCAAAGCTTACAATTAAGAAATGGAACGGTCTTAGAAGGTGACTTTCTAAAGATTAAACGGATGAAAACATCAATTGAGACGATCTTATCTAAGAGAATATTAAAGTTGCACGTCTGTAAACTGAGCGATGTGTATTCATGTACATTATGTTGCTATTATTATATATTTGACTTCACGAACGATTACGAGTTTAATCCAGAGATGAGATGACTATTTTAAACAACATAAGGGAGCAGCTGTAGTCGTACTGATTGATACCTAAGCACGATTAGTAACGCGTATCCGAGTTAGTTGGGACATTGACCATTATTCAGGATATGTTTGGGTATGAGTGACGTGTGTTCCAAAGAACGGTGTAAACGTCGTTTTAAGGATAGTTACTATTTAATTGCAGTGAGAAAAAGCCAGTAGGTTGGTGCTACAGTTCCGAAAGGATTTCAAATAACGAGCAACAACTATCCACTGAACATCGATCTGACTTCGTTAGAGATTACGTACCTGACAAAACATCGATCGGCCACTTATAATCGTTGACAGTATCTCATTTCTATGAATTAATACAAGTAAGATTTAACACGCAACACGGTTTAGGTGATCTTTTAAAATAAGGGCGTCCTAACTATCGGTGAGCACAATTAGGTTAATGCACTCTCTGAAAAACGGATCGGAACGCATAAACGAAACAAATCAAGTTGCAAACTTTTCGATAAACTGCCAGTCAATATTTAAAATATTACTGAACGGATCAAATTCATCGTATTTTTGATAACATTAATGCGTATGTGTAAAGATTGGTTAGGCTGGTCTTCTGAGGTTAGGTTCTGGAAAGGTCTAATCTGGCTCCGTATCCGCCTTTCAGCGAGTGTCACACGCCTTGTAAGTTGTAAGTGGAACAATATTTACGTTTCTATTTAAAGGGCACACATTGGGTGGGTAAACTTTTCATGGATAAATTGTTCTTTAAAATTCTTATAAGATGATGGATGCGTGGCGTCATTTTGTTAGGTTTGACTGTGTTGCCTAAATTCTTTCAGTGAGTTTCAGGGAATTCAGGCCACTGATTAGGTTTCCCTGGCCCTGCAGAAATTATTTGAAGAAACATTCGATAAATTATCAATATTATTCAAGCCCTGCCCCACAGCTCTTGATAATTGAAAAGTGTGATTATTTTGTTAAAAATTGAATACTGAGAACTAGAAGATTGGTAAATTTGGCTATACTGAACTGAACTTACTAAAGTAAATAAGTCGTATGAATAAGATGTCCGCAGTAACAAGTCTGCAGTATTGAAGCCGTACTTATGAACAAGGGATAGTTACACATTATTGCTTCAAACAAAAGACCAATGTTACGGTCTGTCACACACGCATTTACGTAGTAAAGATATAGTATCACCGAACACATAAACTAACAACGTACAACTTATGCGACCTACAGGTCTCTTACTCCCGTCTCACTAACGGCACGAACACGAAAGAGTCTTGAAATAATACTTCCACATTCCAACCTAATACATTGGCACATCGAACAATGAGCATCGAGAATCGATGAAAAATCTACTTTCAATCAAGTTTACAGGTCATGATCTAAAACAAGCAAACATTACGGACCAGTAGCAGTAGCGAATCCACGCCTGAATCCAGGAGCCGGATGACAACCAAGCAAATCAGGCCGATTGCATCCAACCATGTTATTTATCTTGGATAAAACAAAATTCCGGCACAAATGTTAAGCTAAGAGAATCTTAAATGAGAAGTGATGAGCACAGCCATGGAAAATGGCATAGTTCAAAATTTGATGAGAGTCTAAAATCTAAATAAAGTCAACTATTTCCGTGCGTACATACGGTCAAGGAGAGACTGCCACGCTTAGTTACAAAATTTCGTTGATGCACGTAGTTCACTGAAGCAATATAATATGAATTCAATGCTCGGTTATTTTTTGATATTTCGAGTGACAAGCAGCTTGCATAAATCTACGCTTTGCATAATTTCTATATAAACACACGTCTAAACTGGCCTCGAATCTGGCTTGAAATCGATCAATCTAACCAATATTTTATTTACTCCGTTCCTTGCGTCCCATTGGTAGCTTTGGCACAATTCATTTGCCATGCGCTCAACAATTAAGAAGTTGCTGCACTTGGCTTAAACAATTTCATTACATTAAACGTTTGGAGCTGCTAAAAAATATGGCTCTTTGAGCCGCACGAAATGGGTAACTTTCAAAGTACGGAAATATATTTACAGTATCATAGATCATTCACTATTGTGAAACGATCATTTCTTATAAAGGTAACAGTAAATAAATTGCAGTCATAGTCAAAAGGGAAGCCATAGATTAACGATGCGTCAATTCTTTGAGGTCGTTGACTGTCGACGCCAAAAGTATGAAGCCGAAAAAGGCTATCATTATACAGTTGATTAACTAACTTAAATTAACATGAGAATCATGGCATGGAAATTACACAACATCTTATGAGGTAATCATGTGGAAAATGGAAAGAAAGGAAATTTTTTCCAATCCTTATTGAAGGATAAAAGTAGGACCTTAAAAAGAGTAAATTCTGAGAATGCCTCAGCTCCACAACATCTGGTTCGAAAGGGTAATCTCATCATTCAAAGGAATTACAATAAGTCTTATACGCGATACCAATCATTACACGACACGGATATTCACATTAACAATATTTACTCCCTATTAGTACTGCACTGGAAGAAAATATAGAAATATAGTGAGAGAATTATTGTAGCAGAATACTGATCAGTTTCACGGTACGCTTGTACATCAATAATACTGATATTGATATGATGGCGGAGAGGGGAGGTCTTGGTAACGCTGGTATGGGGAGTTGGGATATTGGCTGTATGGAGAGGAGGAGCGCTCCTTGTTAGCAGCCACCACGGTAGTAAGGGAGCTGCTGGACTCCCCAGCAAGCAGGGGTTCGCTGTAAGAAGGTAAAGTCGTGGGGCTGAAGTCGTGGCGAGGGAGGATGGACCGGGAACTGTAGAATTGACTCGTGGATACAATGCGGCTGATTGGGGGAAGTGGAGGACCGTTGCTGGAATTTATGGTCATCGTGGTGTCTGGAGGACTATGAGATGAAATAGGGATACGATCCATGTTGTTAACATCAGGACTCACGCTGTCAGGCCTATTCCCTGGGCTCATCTGATTGAGGGTCGTGATGTGCGAGTATGGAGGCAGCTGGACATGAGACGACAGCTGCGTGTAGAGCGTGAGGTGGTTCTGAGAACCTTGTTCGTGTTCAGATGGCGATAGGTGGTGATGTGGGGAAAGGTGCGTTGTGGTGCCGGGAGATAGTTGAGGGTCCGGGGATAAGGAACGTGAGAGTGGCCCCAGAGGGGACAGATCTCGCTGGTGGTCGGCCCTCGGGAGAGTGAGATCCAGAGAGTGAGAAGGTGGTCTGTCCAACTCGTAAATCGTCGTTGTCCTGTGCTGTGTTCCTGAAGGATCGCTGGTGTAACGGATGAATAAATTAGTCCGGCTCATGTCAACCCCTTGCTCCAGCGTAAATGATGACGAACGCAATGCGTCAGAAGGAATTAGATAAGTTCTAAGGACATCATGCGTAGGACTGGATGACAAATATGTCGGTGATCGCTGCCCATCCGGAGACTTGAGGGCCGGGAGCCCACGGAAATCGTGAGGCTGAAGTTCGGGAAGAGGAAGCTGTTCTGATAAATGGTCGTGGCGAGATGGCGACATTACAGTAACAATGTTACTTGACCCTGAACTCGTGAGCACCTCGAGACCCATCGATGCCGAATTTTCATCCAAAGGCGTGGCGGCCAATAAATGGTCATGTGAGACGGATGTCTCCGGAACAATACGGTACTGTTTGTAAGTCATATCTAGAGCTGGTAGTTCTTCAAGGACGTGCAAGCTTGGCTCCATGCTTGTGCTGCTCACGAGAGACGAAGAAAGTACGGTGCTTGATGGGGGCAGAGCCACGGGTAACGGAGACGAAGGAGATAATGACGTGGCCAGCGAGCTGTTGCTCGAGAGTGTAAGGGAAAGAGCAGAGGACGAAAGAGTGGCGGAACTTAGGGGAGTTACGGAGTCGTTGGACGAAGACGACGGTATTGTATCCAAATGTAGCTGATCGTTAAGATCATGCTGAGAGAGATTGTCTTGAACGACCATGACCTCAGGCAGGGATCGAGGGTCGTATTCTCTTTCGAGAGTGTATCCCAGATGACGATGCTCATCCTCGCTCGTCGTGTAACGAATGTGAGTAGCAAGAGCGGCTTCGTGCGGCAGTTGCAGCTGATCGCTCTGGGATGTTTGCAGTGTTGGAGAACATCGCCCTGAACCGTAACCACGTAGCTCTGCAACACTGAGAGCTGCCTCAACAAGCAGTGAAGCGTTAGACTCCCGCCTCAATAATCTCTCGTCTTCGACTCCGATTAGTTCTTCTTTCTCCCGACGTCTCTGCAGATCCGAGTCTATCCGCTCCTCGAAGTCGTAAATATCTCTGCCTCCACTAGACGATGTATCCTGCTGGTCTCTGTCGTACAGCTCCAGAGAATCTCCCAGCCATTTTCTAGAACCTTTACTGACGAGTCTTGTAGCCGCGGCCGCATACTTGGCAACGTATCCATGTAGCGTGGCTGCTGGAGGAAGCTTGCCAACGTCCAGCAAGACTTCGTCCTGCCGACTGTGCGACTCGCTGTCCGATGTCATGGGGGAAATTGGAGGCTCTTCGTGATGCAGCGGCATGGTGGTCTGTGTCATATCCAATGACTGAGAAGGCGAGTTCGGGTTCGAAATCACCGATGTTTGTTCCAAAGATGAAGGCATTGGAGGTATTTTCCCACGTCCTGGGTCAGGGACCAGTCCTCCTGAATACGAATCGAAAGTGTAGGGAATGCAGCGTTCGATTTTAGGCATTCCGTCACCAGTATAACCGTGAACTTTCTTGTAGTGGAACTGCAGGCACTGCTTGGTGGTGAAGGCAGCATTGCAGCCGCTCTCGATACATCTGCGACAAAATAATAGTGACCAAAACGTAATAATCAACACTAATTCAAAGTATGCATCACCGTAAAAATTATTCAACAAATCGAAAATTAGTCTTCTCCTTAATTAGACAATTGTGATTGGAAATTTCCACAACAAAATCCTATCCAAGATAATACAGTTCAATCAATGATAGAATAAAATTGCGCATTTTCCATTTGTCGAGAGATTTATTCGATATATATTTGGTTTTCGATAGATATAAGTGACACTTCCATAAGGCCTAATTGTTTCTCTTTGAGTTGCATCTCACTCACTTGAATGGTTTGACGCCGGAATGCGTGAGCATGTGGATCTTGAGGTTGCTTTTGTTCTGGAACATCTTGCCGCAGCGGTCGCAGGTTGCCCCTGTGCTCAGGTCCTGAACGCAGGATTGGTTAATAACGAACGCATTTTATTGTTTTCTCAACCACGACGTGCATTAAGGTTTATTAAAAAATTTGGTCACGGTACACAAAGTCAGGATTGTAAGGTGGTTATTTTCATTAACATTTATAAATAGTGATCTATGCAGATAAATCTATGAAAAGTTAATCTGAATCGAAAAAATTTTTCTTGCTAACAAGAAAAATTAAAATAAATAACATACATCAGTGTTATCAAAAATATCATAAAAAATCATTTAAACACGACTATCAGTCTATCGGCAATAGCTGAAACAACGGTATTTAGTAGATCTATTTCAGAAAAAAAATCTGAAAAAATGGCCACAAATTTACAGAAGCTATCATTGCGTTCTACTGAAAAAGTTTATTTCATCATTGAAGAAACAGCCATGCAATATTATCCAAAAACGGGTAGAATTTCTTCTAAAACAACTTCCGAAAATCAGAACAAAATTGTACCAAATCGGATAACTAGAAGAAAAAATGCGCATGCGCAGAAAAATTAGTATAAAACACATTTTTTGCGCGAATCAAATTTAAAAAATGTATGCACCCTGGATGATTTCTGAAATCAAATGCCGGGTTATAAAAAATTTCTGCGCTCAGCGGAAGGAGGAATTCGAAACCATGGCGCAACACGCTAATTTCTATTTCGATTTCACAGTTATTATCCGGCATCATAAAAAATCTCTATTTCCACCTCTAAAATAAATTATTAATAGCTCAAAATTCTTTTCTAATTCGATCATATGGATGAAAAAGTTTTTATATTTTATAAACCATTGGATTTAGTCGTTCACATGCTTTGATAATCCAAAAAAGGTACTGATAAAAATGAAATAGAACTGCCACGAAATTACCACGTTGAGTAATCGATATCAGGGATTAGTCATCGAAGGGGTATTTGAACTTTGATGAAACAAAGCTAGGTACGCCTAAACTGTAATTTGAGAATGATTTCGAAAAAGGCGTCCTAAGTACTAGAAGAAACTATGTCTATGTCTCATAAATTATTTCACTGCCAAGATATTATGAGTCACAGCTCTGATAAATTCATTAAAATTATTATCAATAAAAACGGGGAATGTAGTATACTACTGTACTAGCAAAAAAAAAAATTCGTTTGATTTACGAATTTGTTAATCTAATCGATTGTTTGAGCATTTGAACATGATTCTCTAAACTAAGGAGATTTTGATCTCTAAAAATTGTACTAGGGAGTCTGTAAACAATGTTTTTATTGTTGACACGACGTGAGTAGGGAGGAGGCGGGTCTATGCTACAGGGTCTCTTAGATCGGACTGGCCACCATCGATACCTGGAGCGACAGATGCTCTATTTCACTTAGAAAACCTTCACTTGAACGAAATAGAACTGAGTGTTAGTAAAACTTACTAGTAATTGATTAGTATATGTTGTAAGAAAAAGTGACTACGGCTGTAAGAGGAAAATGACTTGGTTTAGCCAAAATAAATTCACTACGAAATGAAGGTAGCGGGGTATGAACTTATAAGGGTCTGATTTCAGCAAGTAATTTCGTAAATGTGAGAAGCGGAATTTTAAAACGAATAAATTTTTATTGAATTCAAGTTTTCAGATCCGAAGAATACGCGAGTCAGCAAATTATTCGATTCGTGTTTTCAATAAATAATTCATAATCGTCTACCTGAAAGGCCGTCGCTTCGTACTAATTTCCTTCCAATTTGCCAACCTCTCCCAATATGATTCATTAGATTAAAGCTAATTATCGGCTTTCTCTGTAAGTCGTGAATCCAACCAATAAATAATGTTATATTTGTACGCTGTTTCCTACATAGAACATTCGTCAGTTCAAGCTGAACAGTATCTTAGATACGGCCAGCGGAACACCTTTATATCAAAATAGGCGTGATGTCGCTGGGCAACGAGCGACTAACGTTTGCATGGCATCGCGATTCTCTCGCCGGACGCGAAATGTCAAATGAAAAATCTAACGTTAATGTAATTTTTTAAAACTAACAACAAATTTTGCTATCACGTAATGAATGTTAACTGTTACCGAGTTAATTGAACAATCAATACTTTAGTTTGATCTGAAGGACGACTCAACGTTGGAGGCATTCAACATTCAATACCAATTTGAAGCCATGTGTCTGAATAAGCCATATTTGAAGCTCAGCTGACATACGGTAGTTACACAAAAAATGTGCAAAAATACCATTACCAGACGTGGAATAATAAATAAAAATAATAAGGTAAATCGTTATTTTTTCCGGAAATATCCTCAACGATCATTTTAATTGAAGGAACTTGGATTAGTTAGATAAAATAAGTTCCAAGGCGCACCCGTGAAACGCACCGGTGAAGAAAGATGGAACCTACATTTAAATTATATCTTACATGAAGAATCACAAGGCAAAGCGAAAAAGCAAGTTCGTTTTGTGCAGCAAAAGCAAATATAGTTATGTATAAATATTAAAATACATAGTGATGTTTACACACGATTTTACAAAATGCATTCTGTAGAGGCTGGTTTGATACGTTATAAAAAAATATGCAATTATCAAAAAGTTGAACAAATCTTGAGAATATATTGGCAATCTAATCCAGATTATTTAAGCCGTGTTAAAATACACACACAATTAGAGCTAAAATACAAAATAATCTCCCAGCCACTAGCACCACGTCAATCGCTCAAGCGTAAAAAAGCCAATATTTGAATAAATCGGAAACGGCAAAAAAAAATGATTAAAGTATTGTTTCAGTAACTTAACTATTACGTTGGCTCTGAACGGTTTAACTTTGAAAAGAAAAAGAAAGAGGTAAAATTATATTAATAGCAACAAGCACTCGAGAAAACGGCAGGAAATTTAGCTGAACAGAAGCAAATCTCAAGAAGGAGCAGAGCAAAGCGGTTGCAAGCTGTTTTTTCTTAATAAAAACGATGAAAAATAAAAGAAATAAGAAGCTCCGTTGATCGTTGGTGGCCGCCCGTACCTCTTTGCCGCCTGATACCTTATGGTGCACCTCCTTCAGGTGCCGCTGCAGCGCCGCGCGTGAGCCCAGGATCTTGAAGCACATCTTGCACTGGAACTCCCGTAGCACCTCCGACATGTCTGGCAGGAATATTCAAGCTTTATTTACGCTATCTCTAGCCTATAGCTAGAACCTCTCCGGCTAACTAGTTCAAGTTAGCCGGAGATAACTTGAAACTTATAGTATCAATGAGTCAAATAAGGTTTTGGACTAGATTGGAGGGCATTTACATTTTCATCTAGTATGAGATTAAATTTGTATGTAAATTGATTAAAAGAGATCCAGCTGTCCACAAAAGGCAGTCACTGACCTGCATGCATACGCTTCTGATGTGACCTGAGATGCTGAGGCTGACAGAACTTCTTGCCGCAGTAGTCGCAGAGGGGAAAAACCCGAGCTGGGTTACGGCTACACGAGTACGTCACGTGCATGTCCAGAGAATGGAGCCTCAGGAAGAACTGTTTTGTCCCGTTCGTAAAGCAGGAACACACAATAAGCTCTACTACGTGGCATCATCTGTACCATTGCACGCACAGCCTTCAAACTTCTTACTGGGACGGACAAGTGAGATGAGGTCTAAGGGCTCTAATATGCGAGCCAGCGGCAATGAGATCTTAGTTATACATTAGCCACAATCTCTTCAGAAGATGAGGAGTTTGTGGTGAGTGCAATGGTTTCCCCGGCACTGACTACCTTACCGTAAAAGCAAGAGCTCTCGCAACAGCCAGCATGTGTCCACTCCACGTAATTCACACCACCACTGTCAATGCAAATCCCTTTTCGACATTAATGAACCAATTCGAGACAAACGGAACGAAACACCACAACTACATTATCTTTATTTCGACTGACCACCTTCGAGCCAAAACTCGCGTCCACCATCTTTGAACGACCACAATACATCAGCAGAAACTAGAAGCAAAAATGAGACCAATAAGCCAAATGAACCGCAATTCTCGCGCACGCGTTCATGTGAAGGAAGCTGTGCCACTCACCGCTGTGCATTCGCTTGATGTGCACCTTCAGTTTCTGCGGTTGACAAAACTTGCGTCCGCAAAAGTCACAGAGCGGGCGAGTGCGCTGAGGGTTGGCGGCGCATCCGTAGGTGCGGTGCATGTCCAAGTAGTTCAGGCGGAGGAAGAACTGTAAAGTGACAACGCCACTGCTCAACTCTCTGGCTCTCTTGTCCTCAGGTCTATTTACGGAGCCCCCTTTCCTTCGCGTTAACTAAAACAGGGTTGAGGCTCTCCCTCATATCATCAGCCCTCAAGGCTTTTCCCCACGAAATTTGGCAACGGAAGCAGCCGTCTCCTTTCATTTTCTGCCAATGAGGCTCTTTTTATCTAACTTGGATGGGAGTAGACTTTGTTGTGGGTGATCAGGGTACAAAAGTTTTAAAAACAAATGATGCCTTAACGTGAAAGCGCTCTCGATGAGACTATAGCTGCTTCAGCTGTAACGATCGTAACGATAAGCTTCAATTCAAATGACTTTCGTACAAGATGGCAATATTTTTGCCAATTCAAAAGGTATTCGACGGATTAAGCACAATGGCGTTGAAATAGCGTTTCCTTCTTTGTCAGGGAGCGCCTACAAATAACTCAGATTCACAAACAAAGTACACTAAGAGCATCGAGCCACGAAGAACACATTTTCATGAGAATTTCTTAGAAACAATTTTGGAAATAAATCAGCTTGGTATCATAATGATACATGCCTCCTATAGATCATTTTCAGGATATTGTTCTTTAGTTCGCACGGATGGTCTGATACCCAAGAATCACTGGGGAATAATTCGCAAAAATAAACTGATTAGGTACAGAATGGAAGAGCCGAAGAATTTGAATCATAAATGAAGACCGTAAAATTTTCATACTATTTTTGAGAGCAACGGTGTTTCGTTTTAAACGTTTAAAAATTAGTTATTATGAAAGCGTTGCCATTTCTTATTCAGTAACAATTATTCCCGCCGTTTTATTTGCGGTGTTGAAGGGTGGTTACTCATCATCCATGAGTCGAGGAGCGACGTTTTTCAACTCAAACAACCCAGACACAACCGACATATATTAAGTAAAATAACTCACCGGATCAAAATTTATTTCAATGGTAATTAGAACAGAAATAGATTTTTTTAGAAGCAAAATGATGAAATAAAGGTAAATGGGACTTCTAACGGTAACATAATGAAAATTAAAATAATGAAAACAATGGCATCAATTGTGATGGAAAAATACGGCACCAGAATTGTTCTTCGTGGCTCGTTGCCTTCGCCTATCTAATTGTGAGGCTGAAGTATGGAACTGTTGGCTGAACTACTATTTGGTATCCTACATGCAGAGTCAAGATTTTAAGACGGTTTTTTTATTGAGTGCACAAAACTACCGGATATTTAAGAGTGTTTAAGTAGTTCATTTACAAAATACATGGATAGAAAATTGGTTTTTGAAAGGGCAATTGTGATCATCGCCGGGATGTGAGAATTCGAGAATATGAAGGAAGCGCATTGCTCTATTAGACGACAAGAGTAAAAGCCAGAGAACGACTAAACTGGTTCCAATGGAAAAAAGTGTGAGCTTCAAAATGCATATAGATTGTAAAGAACAACCCGATAAGATGTACGAGAAGACGAAATAATACAAAGGAGTAGCAAAAATCTCGATATATAAAAAGAGATAAATTTGTCATGAACATTATATAGGTGAGCCAGACGGCAGTGCATAGAAATGTAGTAATTAAAATACGACTGTGCCAGGAAAACATATGAAAACTTCAAAAGGTGCATGGTATGAATAGAACGTGCAAATAAATTTTAGGATATATATATATAATTAGGAAAGTATTGTTTAAAACTGAGAGCGGTATAAAATGTCTATTAGAAAATGTGTAGTATCAAGTGGTGAGTTTGAACTTGAAATTTGGTGTGCGGTTTTTTTACAGTTCAGTTAGATGCTCTTCGGTGCTTCCCTATATTAACGGTTGAACTTAATTTCTGACGTCCATAAGAAAGATATCTGATGACACGCAGATAATTTACACAGTTAACATCACATTACCTTTTATTAACGCGCCGAGAATCGTCCTCTGCAGTGTCTGTATTGCTGGCTGAAGGAAGAAGAGCTAGTGCGCAATAGAGATTCCCGTATTTCCTACTTTACGCGTTGCAGACGCAACCTCCCTCAATCATAATACAATGATACAGTAATTTTAGCGCCAGGCGATTATCAAAATCCGAAGCAAAAAATTTAGCTATAGTTTTGTTGTCGTCACTATACAGTTTGCAACAAATATCGATTTCCTACAGCGGGAAAAACAAGGAGAACTCGCATTTCGAATGACACCAACCAGTCCATCCTCTTCTAGCCAACCCAGCACCAGACAGGAGAAGTTCTTCGTAAGAATTTCAGGAGAAGACAAATCGAGGAGAAGCGAGTGTTAACCACACAAGGCGGTGAACAAGTTCGAGCCGATGCACACCCAGAGTTTACCGAAGAAACAACGGAAGCGCGGAAGATCACCCGACTGAAGCCGGAAGATGAGAGGATAAAGAATGAGAAACACTTTCCGACGGACAAGCCATGGAGAGGACAGTGGTGGTGGTTGTGGTGGTGAAATATTATAGATGCTTCTATACTTGGGAGGCAAGACATCGACTATACTAAGCACTATTACTCGCAATGCACAATACAGCACTCTCAACCCAGACTTAATTAGTTACCGTTACTCAAAAGGGATGAGAAAATAAGACTCCACTCTTAAATAGTATTCATCAAGCCATTGTGATAGAATTCAAAACAATATAAAGACTAACGCATTCGTCTTAAGTTTTTGACTACGTTGATCTGGGTTGAGGAAAATCACGGGATATATGCCGAAGCTTTGTTGAGTCTGAGGAGGTGTCATGCTAGTGACTCCCGCGATGTATCAAGCATTGGAAGGAGAGGCCAAACTCTTCTTAACAATGTCATTATTAAGTCTACCACATCAATGTATCGACTTCCCATGCGATCAAGCACACAGAAGCTCCCTATAGACAATTCAAGTTGGGTCTCGGCCAAGAAAACCAGTCTACCCGATCGTTTGATCTAATCAAAAACTTGCGGTGAGAGACCGAGCTGAGCATATATGTCTCGTACGTGAAATGTGTATTAAAATTTCTCGGTAAAGTGATACTACTGTGTATGCATGTGTGTACAGTCAAAAGAGATCAGGATCAACCGATACCGTGAGTAAGAATCTACTTTATACTAAGAAGTATTCAATGGAGCTATGCTAATGATATATGCTGAGAATTTAAATGCGTACAGCATGCACTAAGATTTTATTATCAATAACCATCCTACATTACGAATTGAAGAGTAGAATTTCTATATTCGTATATACTCTTCAGGCGCAGATGCTGACGGCATCATTTCATTATTTTCTACAAAAACTAACTGCACTGCTAGTCTGACACTTCATCACTGATATCGTGACCTTGTTTACTAGCACTGGAATGCTCGGCATGTAATTCTTGTTATTTTCACAATCGAGTTCCCGATTGTACGGTTGAAGCGCGTCATTATCAGATAACTCCAGCTGCCATAGCAAAGCACACTTAAGTATTATTGAGTGGGAACTTCCGTCATTACCACGATATTAAACGCATCTTTTCTAAATCCAGTATCGAAAATTTATGGCCATTGTGCATTTTACGCACATTCTCATTTCAAAATATCTGTCTTCTTAAAAAAATTTAGCAATTTTAATACAATTTAATGATGAACTATTTACTTGCATGCTGTTCTGTAAACTCAATTTAACTTTGCTTAAGTTATCAAGTAATTTTTTTTAAAACAAATTTAATCTAAGCCAGTGTATTTCTCCATAGCAATATATAATTGGAGCAGTTTCATCAAAATTACATCAGTTCGCCGTTCATCATTACGGCAAATGAGATCGGAAAACATCCATGTTAGAACTAGTATGGGAATAACTATATTATTCCCAAAATTACCGAAGTGTCTCATTCGACTGCAGAGAAAAAGCGTGTGATAGAATTTACTAAAAGCGCTTCCCATAGCAAAGGCAGCAGCAAGCAACATGCGACACTCAGGTACAGGCATGCATAAAGTGCATGGCAAACAAGCAATGCTCAAAAAGAATGCGGATAAAACAAGCAACTGTTATTAAAAAGTGGTGGGTACACACACAAGGGAAACGAGAAGTGCAGGATAAACAACAAGGAAGGGGGAATAAGTGAAGTTTCGAGTGCACGGCCAAAGCAAAACAAACGCTCTGAAATCCAGGTTCTGAGAAATGAAAACGAATCAAAAGTTCGGAAATTTTATTAATTTCATTTTCAAGTTTTGCGGTTACAAAAAATGTTTCATCAAATAATGGCCATTAATTTATTTATTGTAGATAAAGTTTTCGGAGAATTTGGATCCAGAGCAGCCTAGTGACCTTAAATATATACAGGCGCAAGCAGGAGTAGTAGGAACTATAGTGCCGGAGAAAACATGCACGTAAGTAAGTCAATACAATAAAATGTTCCATTGTATGTTATTGACATGAGTGTTATTATTTACACCGAATTAACATTGTTAGATAAAATATAAGTTCACTTGATATCAATAACGTCATGTTCATTATTTTGGGAAGAGCTTCAATATCATCGAATATCTACGATAGGAACTCTTTGACAAATGAGGAGAAATTGTTTGCAAATTGAAATAATTGGAAGTTGTAAGAAGATATTGATATCAAGCAAATCATGGATTATTGGGCGTAACATTCAAAACAATTATTAACGTCATGAAAAGTTATATGAAAAGTGTACAAATCGGTTATAAAACCTACGCATCAGAAAGCGCCGCTGATGGCATCGTAATGTCAAAATGAATTATAATAATACTGATAAGTGCAAACATTTGAGTTTAAAATATTGATCTGTATAAAAAATTGAGTTTGCGAAAAATTTCATGGCATTTGATCACTGATTATTTCACTTTTCAAATATCAAAATGATTATTGGAATAAATCTGTTAAAACAATTAGAAATGTTAAAAGAATCTTAACATGTATGACATCATATTAAATACTTTTTGGTACAGCTTTCAAATCCTAGATTGCATTAGTAATAATAACCGCCTGTTATGCATATTCATTGAAGTTTATTGAAAACTATTTGAAGCCTGGTAAAGTGAATGTACAGGCAATTAAAGTAAAAAAAACGACACAAAGATATCGAAAAATTGACAGGATATTTTGAAAAAGATTCTAGGATCAATTTTTGATTTTCTTTAGGTAATGCAATCCGAACGCAGGTTATATTTAAGATTGAAACTCATTCACATAATTATGCATCAAATTTAAATATATAAATGTGATAGAAATCATTTATTGAATATTCTTGAACTTCCTGATCTGAAAATGAAATTTCTGTTTGGAATTTCTTGTTCATAAATTTTCAAATTATATTTTTTAGCGTTACGGACCATCATAAAATTTTTTTCCTTTATCAATAATTCAACATAGTTTTTAACCCTGACGCTCAAATAAGCAAGTGAGTTTTACCAGACGAGCAAATGAACAACTTATTATCGCGGCAGTCGCGCGTGTCGCGTCTCACCTTCTTGCAGAACTGACACTGGTAAGCGCCCCGGCCCTCGTGCTGCTCTGCCGCGTGTCGCATGATGTTCTCCTTGCCGAGCACCGCCAGCCCGCACACCTGGTGTAGTAACACAAACTATTAATGAATTTATATCACTTGTTTGCTTAAATCGCAAATTAACTAAGAATTTAAAAGCAAAGAAAAGTCCACAAAAATTCATATCTTTATAGAAAATACGTTTTCTATAAAGATATGAATTTTTATGGACTTTTTTTCACAAACTATTAATTACACGCATCAAGTACCAATATTCCTTAGGCGTTGTAACTGTATTACGCAGAAAGGTAAAGAATTACGTAGTAAGGCAAAGGATTACGCAGTGATGTAAAGTATTACGCAGGGAGGCAAACTATTACGCAGTAAGGCAAAGTATTACGCAGGGAGGCAAACTATTACGCAGTAAGGCAAAGTATTACGCAGGGAGGAAAAGTATTACACAGGGAGGCAAAGTAACACGCAGTCACAATGTGGCAAAGTATTACTCAGCGCAGAGAAACATTCACTTATATGAATACTCCTTGCATGTGATACACAGTGACTAGTACAACTCTACGCACACGTGTTTTATTTGTACATATAAAACGTATTCTTTGCGCGCTCATCACGTTGCTAGATTTCAAGCACTCGTTTAAGTCAAACGCTTATCTTCAGGGAAAATAAAGGCGATTGCCAATTTATTCATCAACAGATTCTCGTCTGCGGTCAGTTTTAATTTAAAATTTTTTAGAAAATAAAAGCGAATGCCATTTTATTCATCAACAGATTCTCGTCTGCGGTCAGTTTTAATTTAAAATTTTTTAATCAGTCTAATAAATTCGTAAATGTTTTAGCCATTGATGATTTCAGTTTTATTTTCTGACTGCTTCTTTTGTTTCTTCACACGTGTACTTAAAAAGTTTTTCGCGTTAAGTTTAAAAATGCAAAAAGACTATCAGTTATCAGCTGATTTAGACAAAAAATCTAAAAGCGTGAGAATAATTCATAACTTAGCACGTTATTAGTTTATAATTGATAGGCAAATGTAACTGCTGAAGTTATGTATGAAATAAATGAAATGGCAGATTACATATCAGGAATTTGCTGAGCCAAATTTGTATAGAGATTACTCTCCGAGTGTGAACTGTACAGCGCCAAGAGCAGCCCGTTAAATCCTACGCTCCGCAGGCCAAAGGCAGCCCGTTAAATCCTCCGTTCCGTAAGCAAAGAGCAGCCCGTTAAATCCTACGCTCTGTAGGCAAAAAGCACGGCGAGAGAGACGTGAGGGACGCTCAATACGACGGTCAGAAATTGGTAAGCCTACACAATAAACGGATTAAAATCATACAGCACATGTTAGATGATATGCTATACGAAATTTAATGTTAAATAGTGTTGTTGTAAAAAAACAGATTTACGATTTTAATGATACATATTATTTTTTATAAAGATCAATGTCAATTGGGAAACAAGTTTTGTGAATTTTATCGATAACAAAACGGTACATTCAGGTAAAGTTACTGTAAAGGGGAGCCTTAATGAGAAGGGTTTCTGTAAGCGAGAACAATTAAGGCATCATTTCGATATCAACACGCGTTACGATTTCTGCCACAATGCAATTAAGTTTTATTGCATTGATAAGTTAATGAAGGTAGATAAGTTAACAAAACTGAAATAAATCCTGCATAATTTAAAACATTCAGCTTGAGGATCACATTTATATTCTCGGCCGCAGTCGGACCACCGCATCAAAAGCCTTCATGCAGAATCGCTTTAAAGAAACCAGTCATTAGTGAAGGAAAACCCAGTCCTTTCGCTTCAGAAACTTCAGCTCAACTCCCAAAGGAAATGAGTTCACAAAAACGATGCGTTCGTAACGGAATTAAAAGAACTCGCATAAACTTGCCCCCAAAACGAGCGAGATGGAAATTCACATCCAAATTAAAAGACTTTATGTGGTGGAAATGGCTAGGTATAACAGGACCGAGCAGTCAAAAATCGTTAATTCTTTTGAAGTTTGCTCAGAAGCATAACAATTTTTGCGTATTTTATTGATGTGGAAAGTATTTCGAAAATATTGCGGCTACCGCCACTGAATAAAATTTAGTGAATGTTTAAAAACAATTTTTTCGATAAACACGTGCCGCAAAAATAACAAATAACTTAAAATAACGAAGCTTCACAAGACAAAGTTCGGCAGAAATAGTTTCATCCGTTACGCCTACGTGAGTTTACAGAATTTGCGGCAGATGATCGCCGAGAAAAACAAGATTAGATGAACTTTTAACAACGTAAATAAAACCTAATAAGAAACACCTCACCTTGCAGTGATATTTGCGGATGGTGAGGGAGTAGTTTGGGTCATGGAAGACGGAGCAATGCATCCGGTAATGCAGGGGATGGACGAACTTCATGTTACATCCGCCACAATCTGCAAGAGAGATGAATAAAACTGTCAAAAATTGCTGGTGCTTTGCTTGCATTTATAAACACAGCATGAAAATAATGCAGCCAGATACGGGACAAGCAAATGCCATTAATATACGGTATTAACGTATTAAACGGGGGTTTCAATGCTTGCCCGTCGATTTTCTAGCATTACAGTGAAAATAAAAATTCTTAGGGTAAAATTTGAACCATGGATAATATAGGGCGGATCATCTAGTGAAATTAGTCATAACTCATGTCACACTAAATTTTCCATTTGTAATGAAATTTCGGACATATGGACGAGAATATTAATACAATATTTGACTAAATCATTCAATTTTTGGAAATTTTCAATATAATTTTCAGTAAGCCAATAATGAACCAAATTCCTAATAAGGCTTAGATAAACAGTTAGCTTTACTGTATAGAAAGTACTACGTACGACGCTGAAATAATTGGCAAAGGGAGCCATGACTAAAATCACAAGGTAGCCACGCCAGATTTATTTATAATACAAATATTTATCATGCCATCACATGACATCAGCAGAATGGGGGAGACGTTTGTTGGGAATTTTCCCAGCGCAGGAGGAAATCCTCTTCTAGAATTTTATTAATTTAGAACACTTCAAAGGACCAAGACAAATTTAAGTATTTAAGTAGATTTATTTAAACTCTCTCAAAGAAGCCAGTCCCTTTTTCGCGTCCTTGCATCCAGAATTCAGGGAAGAAAGGTCCAAGCGAGCAGTTGGGAGGCTGACGTACGATGTTTCACAAGGTGGGATACTGGACATAGAACAGAACAAAGTAAATATCACAACAGAACCTAAACTTCGCGTTAAGTAATTTCATTATCGCACAATTCGTAGAAGACAGTTATAAATGCTCACCTTATTTAATGAAAAATAAGTGCACTGGTCGAGCTGTGCTTTTAGAGTTAAATTTAGTTGCGTTAAGTAATGGTGCAAAAGCAAGTTAATGATCTATACTCTATAGTTCCAAATAAATAATCGTCACCATAGGAAGGAGCTTCGAACTCTTTGGCCATTCAAGTTTAGTTAATAGTTAAGTTTTAAGGTTTATACAATTAAGCTCGTATACTTGCATTAGAGAGCGCAAGTTACGCTTCAAGGTATATTAAGAAGTAGGTCTATCGGTTTAGCTGGCTGGCCAAAGTGCTCAATAAAAAGAAGTGACAAAAGCATGCACCCCAAATCATAAATTAATTAAGCAAGGGTTGTGCACAACAAATCATAAGTAGTTTAACAGCAAATAATCCAGGAAACTATGGCGACACAGTTAAGGTAGTTTAAGGAACTTTAGAGACCGCACTTCATGAGTTCTCGTTTCGAACTCTTTTTTTTTTTAACTTCTCGTCACGAGTTCTGGGATAGTAATTCTTAAGCTAGCTTACGGCTACGTTTATATAAACAAGAAAGTTCTTGTTCTTCGTCTATAGTTAAGAAGAAATCTGGTTGGGATATTTTTCCCAACACGTTCGAGTTATTCATGTATTGACGAAAGTCCAAAAATCATATTAGTAATAATAAAAGAACGAGTTATATTCATTTTTCTCAAGACCATGTGAATGATTCTAAAGATTTCTCAAGACCATGTGAATGATTCTTCTAAATTTACTGGATGCACTACGATCAATTCTACGGACTTCAGTGCCAGAATTCAAATAACATTTAATGGAAAATCAGACCATGACCCGGTTTATTATTTGCATCCAAAATAGTAAAAGATAATGAATAGAAATTTGCCACAGTTCAGATTAAATTCGGATTTTATTATTACATTCAACATTTGCACTAATTTTGCAAATATTTTAACGTAATGCTTTAACACTACAGTATATATCGAGCGAGTCTGACTTTGTACTAACTTTAGATTCATTTCTAACAACCACCGTAAATATAATGATTATTTAAAGATATTACATAAATTATTGACCCGATACTTCAATGATAAATGCCCACGACTCATAAAAGAACGAAACTTAGGAACAACATTGAGCAAAATTCATGGCTGGAGCTGCGAGTTAACCTTACTAATTTCTAGTTTCTTGAATAGGAAAGCTTTCTGATATAAAATGCAATAACAGTCTATGAGTATCCTGAATTTTGGTAATAGTGAGAAACGCCACCGATTAGAGAGGTAAGCGGGACTATACCGCAACATTGATAAGGAAAAAGCCCCGTTGGTTAGTCTGGAAACAAAAGAAGCCTAACATTGTTGCGGCAGCAGCGATGCTTCCTTCTTATTCATTGTTTTCCGAGATGAGACAAGTTTACGATAGAAGTTTCATTGCTCGTAAAGTCCTGATGGATACGAGCAATAACCACCATAATAACGGCAGAGCTTTTAGAACCGCTATCGGCTTAACGATCGAAGCTTCCACCTAGCCATGAACATTAGAGATATTCTTGGCTTTCTTTAACAAATTCCGAGGCTGGAAAACCGAGTGAAGGTAACACGAATCTCTTTACCATTGCCGAATTTTTTCGTATATATTTATTAAAAATAATGATCTTGGTGTTGCCGAAGCGATGACGTAAGTGGGATAAAGCTACGTACGCCATGAAAACGTTGCGATAGGGAGAAACACTGCGATCCAAGGCAACACTGCGATCTAAGGCAACACTGCGATCCAAGTCAACACTGCGATCCAAGGCAACACTGCGATCCAAGGCAACACTGCGATCCAAGGCAACACTTCGGTCGGAAGCAACACTGCGATCTAAGGCAACACTGCGATCTAAGGCAACTCTGCGATCTAAGGCAACACTGCGATCTAAGGCAACACCTGTCTCTTATACACATCTAGATGTGTATAAGAGACAGGGGTTAGTTAAGTTCGGTACATCACAACCTGAACCTGAGGGAACAAACATCACTGTTTTACTTAATAAGCAAGTGTATTCGTTACACATAGAATATTGTATGAAGAAGTTCCTTCACGTACAAGAAATTATGAGATAAATAAGAAGTCCAATGGTCACGAATATATGAACAATTTTTTTAATTCATACGAGCGGCTGGGATATTATCACTAGTAATAATATAAATTAGAGTATTACCTAAAATATGGAAAGCAATACTTTTTATTTATAATTAGTTTACGCTTACTAATATTTAATAATAGTTAAATTGATACAAATAGTGCACAGGCACAAAAGAACTAAGAATTAAGAACAAACTCATAAAGGAAGAGATTCAAAAAATCTATCACAAAATTATAATAAATAAGCAGTTACAGTAATAAAAATTCCAATTTAATGAAAATTAATTCAATCAGTTAATGCAGCTTACGTCCCCACCATGGAAGACGAAGCCTCTTTTTAGTGCTCCGCGTCTTTCCTAAACCTTCTTATGGAATAGTATCGATCTGAATCAATCATTGATAATCTTTTTTTACTCGTAACTATTCTAAATAGGTTTAGAGTTTTCCGCAAGTAAGTTCTTTTATACTTCTAAGTTTGGATTCATTCGTTTTTAGATACAATCTGGTGAGGACTGCGATATTGTGCGACATGTCTCATTATCCGATCAGGGAAATATCTTAAAAAACAAATCATAGCAGTGATTTAAACACTGAAGTAATGTTGAAGTTTCACAAAAATATTTCCAAAGTATGGCAATAGAAACCCCCAAAAAGTAACGATAACTAATAATGTCGCGAGAAAATCGCTGGCATCGAGCCAACACTCGTGTCCGCATTGTAGGTGAGAATGTCAGCGGTTGTTGTTGTTGAGGTGTCGGCCGCCGGGAGCATTTGGTGGCGACAGCGGCACTACATCACCCGCTATGTTTCCTGTGTACGACCGGGGACCTCAGGCTGCCTGTAGCCATAGAGCTCAGCCACTTCCCGACCTAACAGTCCAGCCATTTTTCGACCACGAGCCTTGCAGCCCAGCCACTTCACGACCAATCAGCCTTACAGATCACCGACTTCCCGACCACCAGCCTTACTGCCCAGCCACTTCCAGACCACAAGCCTGACAGCCTAGCCACTTTCCGACCACCAGCTAAACAACCAGCCACTTCCGGACCATCAGCCTAACAACCCAGCCCTTTTTGGCTACCAGTTTCACAGCCCAGCAACTTCCAGACCACCAGCCATACATTCCAGCAACTTTCCAGCCATCAGTTTTTCAACCCAGCCCTTTCCGGCTAGGAGCCATACAGTCAAGCTCTTTACATGCATGTAAGCAAACACCTACACCGACAACCCGTTCTCCGATCAATAAATTTTGAGATCAGCAAATCCAAGAGCTTGTTAAATATTCCAGTTTCATGAATACAGCCCAAACTCAATCTAATATAACTTTTCAATGCGCGTTTAAGGATACACGAGAATAATACCAGATTCGCCAAAAGTTATCACGAACGAAATTGAAACATTTATCAATCTTCTAGGACCTACCTTTGAAACACTATCACTATTTTAACACGTGTCATTAAAATTTGTATAAAGATAAGCAGGGGCGAATAAATCATCCTATAACGATGGACAAAAACAACACACATCTCCTGCACGAAGCCTACACACACCCACTCCTGCTCTCCACCCCAAATGCACTTCCTACATTTCTCTTCCAGTGCCGGCAACTGGTACAATTTATAGCACTATAAATCCAATAGACGAAATGTTGACGCCAGATCCTTTTCTTTTTCTGTGTTTCTGAGCACGCCGTCTCACCACAAGCCCCTTCCCTTCTACCTATATCCCTCCCCAGTATTTAGGGACCTAGATCTGCCTCAAGGATCTTCCCAAGGACGATCATATGAGAGGATGTCTGAGGCACCAGGAAAGTTTTTCAGCTATGGCAGGCTGATCAATAACTCTTGTTCACAACGACGCCAACGCAGGAAACAAGTCATTCCCCACGTCGGCAGCGCTCCATAACATTCGCGCTGTTTTACTAAATTTGTCCGTGCTTTCTTTCAACCCACTGCGTCCTCACCGTTTCAAAAAACGTGTAAATTTTGCTGCTCTAAAGCAGGACAATTTTTCAGAGTGAATAAAATTTTTGGTGCTCGATATTGATGTAGACGCGAGCATTGAGTCCCACTCAATCACGAGCTGAACTGGCTGAACTCAACTACGAACTGAAAGGTTTCAGCAAGAATCTGATTCGTAGCAGGATGACTTAACATGTCGTCATGCATTCACGTCTTCTATCTCATGAAACCAGTCCCGGAATTTAGATTTTTCACGATTTTCCTCTGGCTTCAGAAGAAAGAATTGAGGATTGTGGCTGGTAAGAGTGTGCCAATAAATTGTAATGTCATCTAGAGCATGACATGTAATTATATTCTTATGCCAAAATCTTGCACATCCCATAAATAAAATCGTCAATAATTATTGATCAAAAATTTCATTTATCTTTGCAACAAAATAATTAGTTGGGGTCCAATTGAATGTTGAAAATCTTATTCTTAAATCTCTTAAGTCAAGTTATTGTAGTGCCTTCATGATAGGAACGAGGCACGTTGTTATGCAATCGTGAAGTCCATCACATTTTTTCTTCGAAGTTCCACTGTCATCCAAGTCTTCCCTCGATTGTATTATTTCCACATTTATATCAAATAGGTCCTAAATTTACTTAAGTTTCTTTACGTTTTGACTATTGATAACATAGTCTATAAGCGTCATTATTGATGTATTTTGTCCGCTGAGACGCAGGACGGGAGTTGGGATCCTATGAAAGGAAGTGATCGCAGCGGCCGTCGGCAGGGACAGGTTACGGGGCGCCGGATCTTCCTGTCTCGGCAATGAGGAATTATTATGGAGCTTCTCTTCCTGCCTACAACTCGGCTACAATCCGGCTACAGCTACAGCATTGTTACACTCCGGCCACGTTCCGTCTACACTGCAGAGACACCACGGTTATCTCCCGGCTACATAGCAGCCATGCCACACTTTTCTTCCGCCTGCACACCGGCTACACTGCAGTTATGCCGCGGTTATCAATCCGGCTTAACTAAGCCTACACTGCAGCTAAACTCCGAACACATTACTGTTTATACAGCAATGAAGTCACCACAAGTCTACTGCTACGCTTCAGTTTACAAACTAATTGTAGTGTGTAAACTGTTACACTAATTGTATTTGTAATCCGAGAATAATCCTGAGAGAACTTTGACGAACTTTCATATCCTTTGATGCAATGAAACTATAGTGAGCAACAGTTTAATTAGGTTCATATGGTTTTACACGTGTTTGAGATGTTCGATGTTTTCACGGGATATTTTCATCAGACGTGAAAGTCGTTACTTTAACATGAATTATTAAGGCTATTCCATCAAACGTGATGTTTTATAAGACGTGGAAAATAGGTACTTTAACACGAATTATTAAGGCTATTCCATCAAACGTGATGTTTTATAAGACGTGGAAAATAGGTACTTTAACATGAATTATTAAGACTATTCTATCAAACGTGATGTTTTATAAGACGTGGAAAATAGGTACTTTAAAATGAATTATTAAGGCTATTCCATCAAACGTGATGTTTTATAAGACGTGAGAAATAGTTACTTAAACATGAATTATGAAGGCTATTCCATCAAACGTGATGTTTTATAAGACGTGAGAAATAGGTACTTTAACAGGACTTTTTAAGGCTTGTGATATGCAGAAATTGAACGCTCGACCGACAAGCGGAGAGTGGTGATATCGCACGGCAGTTCATCGCGAACGCAGGGAACAGTTATTGAAATTTCATTACTTTTCTCCGTAGAGTATGTGTGGTTTTTTATTGTATTTCAAAAGAATTTCATGTTCATCCTGAAATTTACCTAATATTATGAACAACCAAATTTATAATACCTAAGAGGGATGGAGTATAAATAATAAAGAAATGAATACAAATGAATTCACAGTAATACAAACTAAAAAAGAAATTAATTTGTTCATTGCAGGAATAAATGAAAGGCAACACCATTAAACTCAACATCTCTAACATAAATAAAACGAGTTTTGTTTCAATAACTTCTTAATTATGGTATTATGTATTGACAAAGCCTTACCAATTTAACTAGAAATAATAATCTATGTTACGTAGAAAAGCTAAAATTATTTCATTTTTCAGGACTTTCCATTGCCATGAATTCGGACAAAAGTTAAAATAAAATTGAGAGTTTATTTTCTCGTGAAAGCGGCGTGGCGGCAAGCTTTCATGGAACTCGAGGTGAACATTAAGCAAGACCAGCATTAAATGACGATAATATATCGCTGTGAAGCGACTACCAGTTTACGACTTAGCAGCGACTAGCAGTTTACGACTTAGAAACGACATGCAATTTACGACTTTGTTGTGACACACCGAACGCTTTGAATCATGCCGCTGCACGGATGGCAACTTTAGGCATTTCAGCTGACCACGCCGACAAAACTGCGCCACAATATGCCAGTGGCATAGCTTAATGGAAAGACTGCGCCGTAATATGGCTCAGTGACACAGCTTAATGAAAAGACTGCGCCACAATATGGCTTTGTGGCACAGCTTAATGAAAAGACTGCGCCACAATATGGCTCAGTGAAACAGCTTAATGAAAAGACTGTGCCACAATATGGCTCAGTGACACAGCTTAATGAAAAGACTGCGCCGCATTATGGCTCTGTGCCATGGCTTAATGGAAAGACTGTGCCACAATATGGCTCAGTGGCACAGCCTAATGAAAAGACTGTGCCACAATATGGCTCAGTGGCACAGCACACAGTGGTAGTATATGTATCTACCAGCGTCACATTGACTGCGCTACTATATTTTTCGGTGCAGTAAATATCAACTTTAAAAGCCAATCGAGGTACGTTTTGACTAATTCCCGTTGAAGATGAGTATATTTAACTCTGTTATCCAAGTATTTTTATGCTAATCTCGAGCACCTTAAAAAGCACCAGTCTAAAGGTAATCTCGAGCTCTACCAGTCTGCATTAAAAATTTAATTTACCGCACGTGTATCAAGCTATTTATTTACAAGATAAGTCGGTAGGCAAGAGATAATTTTAATTACGATGGAAAGTTTCGGCGCCGAGATATTATGGCAGTTCTTTGCAGCGCCTGCCTTTTGAACTAAGGTGCAAACTAGGATTCTGCATTTTTTAGTGTAGGATTCTGTATTCGGTAGTATAGGATTCTGTATTCTGTGGTGTAGGATTCTGTATTCTGTGGTGTAGGATTCTGTATTCGGTAGTGTAGGATTCTGTATTCTGTAGTATAGTATTCTGTATTCTGAAGTGTAGGATTCTGTATACTGAAGTATAGGATTCTGTATTCTGTAGTATAGGATTCTGTATCCTGAAGTGTAGGATTCTGTATTCGGTAGTGTAGGATTCTGTATTCGGTAGTGTAGGATTCTGTATTCTGTAGTGTAGGATTCTGTATTCTGAGACAAAAATAGTCACATAATTAAAACATTAATTTATTTACAGTCATTTATGCGCATGAAAATGAGCGTCATTGATAACTAGAATCATAATTTTTACCTTATTTATGATAAAATGGAGGGAAAATAATAGAGAGGCACATTAATGAATGAGGAAAACTGCTGCACGGATGAGGATTTTACATGTGTGAACTGATAAATGACGCGCTAAAATTACAATATAATGCCCTATATAAAATTGTACGAGCCGAAATTAGTGCTGGAAAATTAGATTGCAGGAAATCTTGAATTTTAAGATCATGCAATATACTCGATACAAGATTCGTGTAATAAAATTGTTATTTAATATCAGCCCAAATGAATAGTGAATTTATCTAAAAATAAAAAATAAAAAACTATTAAATGCAATGAAACTTCTTAATAAAAAGTATTTTTAAATTTTTTGAAAATATGAAATATAAAAAACTATAGAATGTAATAAATTTTTTTTAATGTGTCTCGAAAATATAATAGAGCACTGACCCATGTCGTGGACGGGGCGGGGCACGACGACCAGGTTAGCGGAGTCCCTGTCAGGGGCGGGGCGTAGGAACCTCGTCCAGTTGCTCCTGCTGGGGTCCACGGTGCTGACGTAGCGCTTGCCTTCACTCGTGAACACCTGCGGGGGATGGCAACACTGTATGGCAACACTCGTGATGTGGCAACACACGTGATGTGGCAACACACGTGGTGTGGCAACGCACGTGGAGTGGCAACACACGTGGTATGGCAACACACGTGGTGTGGCAACGCACGTGGTGTGGCAACACTCGTGATATGGCAACACTCGTGATATGGCAATACCCGTGATATGGCAATATTCGTGATATGGCAACACTCGTGATATGGCAACACTCGTGATATGACGCAAAACTCGTGATATGGCAACATTCGTGATATGGCGATACTCGTGATATGGCAATATTCGTGATATGGCAACACTCGTGATATGGCAACACTCGTGATATGGCAATACTCGATCGTGATATGGCAACACTCGTGATATGGCAATACTCGTGATATGGCAACACTCGTGATATGGCAATACTCGTGATATGGCAACACTCGTGATATGGCAACACTCTTGGCATGGCAACACTCGTGGCATGGCAACACTGTATGGCGACACTCGTGATATGGCAACATTGAATGGCAACACTCCTGGCATGGCAACACTCGTGGCATGGCAACACTGTATGGCGACACTTGTGATATGGCAACACTCGCGATATGGCAATCCTAGTGGAGTGGCAACACTCGTGGTATGGCAACACACGTGGTATGGCAGCACACGTGGTGTGGCAACACACGTGGTGTGGCAACACTCGTGTGGCAACACACGTGGTATGGCAACACACGTGGTGTGGCAACACTCGTGGTGTGGCAACACTCGTGGTATGGCAACACACGTGGTGTGGCAACGCACGTGATGTGGCAACACTTGTGGTGTGGCAACACACGTGGTATGGCAACACACGTGGTGTGGCAACACACGTGGTGTGACAACGCACGTGGTGTGGCAACACTCGTGGTATGGCAACACACGTGGTGTGGCAACGCAAGTGGTGTGGTAACACTCGTGGTGTGGCAACGCACGTGGTGTGGCAACGCACGTGGTGTGGCAACGCACGTGGTGTGGTAACACTCGTGGTGTGGTAACACTCGTGGTGTGGCAACGCACGTGGTGTGGCAACACTCGTGGTATGGCAACATACGTGGTGTGGCAACGCACGTGATGTGGCAACGCACGTGGTGTGGCAACACACGTGGTGTGGCAACGCACGTGATGTGGCAACGCACGTGGTGTGGCAACATACGTGGTGTGGCAATACGCGTGTATTGAACAGTCGTCAGCAAGGTGAAGTTGTGTCAGAAAGCTTAGTAAAATTTATATCTCCTTGACTCTGATACACGGGGTGAGGCTCATGTGCATTAAACATATGAATTTCTCGATTACAATCTGAAACTAAGCTTTTCTAATGATTCAAAATCTTTGAATACTATAGGAAATGTTACAAATAATAATATTCTAAAAAATGTACCAGCGTTAAATTGGCTCATGTTTTTGATTAGGCTTCAAAAACCAATAAACAAAAGACAATCCACCAGGTCCAGTATGACTAGCATTAATAGATGACGGAGTAGACCATAAGTTCTTCGTGGGAGTCGAAAAAAATATTCGAATCCGGGGACTTTGAAGAACGAGGAAATGATCGCGGCGTGACTGATGGCCGACTTGTCAGGCTGCTTAGAAAGCCCAAAAACTCATAAAAGTGCAAATGACTTCCGCCCTCGGCGACCGAACGCTTCGGGCCACCGCTTCGAACTTATGACTTACCATTAGCAACGACTTTCCTCCAGCCGATCCCTCCGTATAATAAATGCTATGTTTGAGAGATGCATATTATGACGTAATTCCATGGAAATTTTAACTTTGATTCAAAGTTCGACGTATTCAAGTCGATCCTTCCGTATAAAAATTGTAATATTTTCAGAGATGCATAATACGAAGTGATTCTATGAAAATTTTCAATTTAATTCGACGAAGTTCGACTCGTTTCCTATCGATTCTTTCCCATCATAAATGTAATCATTCGCACGCAAAGCAATTCCTAATAAAATTTCCTTCATATTGGTATTTTGATAGTTTTTCGTCTCATAGTGGTTCAGATGTTGCAGTCCGGTGATTTATCTCCACGATGATGATAGAAATCAGAGTAATGAGGAAAATAAGTGTAAATTTGACCAGCAACCAAGCCATGTAAGAACGATTTGATCAAGTCATGGATCAATAACAAGCAAGAAATAAGCGACAATTAAACGGTTCATTAAATACGTCCACATGAACTTTTTTGGCAAGTCTATCTGCATGGAACTATTGGCTGGTTAATTGGAGGTAATTTTTAGGTGAACACGTTAAATTCTTTCGAAAATCCTGATTGAACGAAAGATATTCACCCGTACTAAACAGGATAGTCAAAATACAGCATTAAAAAACAAGTGGACATGAAAATTTTCTTATGCAAGCTGTTCTGTTTAACGACATAGCAAAATATTCACTATGGAGAGAGAATTTTAATACCGAATAATTATATCCGCTAATTATGTAAATTCGTGAGCTCCACGATGAACATGTGTAGTGATACCATCTCGTCTTATTCAAAACATATTCATGGCATACGAGCGTTTAATTTTAGCGCTGCACGGCAAGCTCGTTTTAATTACCGGTCTAAGGTACGTGAAGTCTGTCAGCTCATCACTGCTGCTTTTGTAACGAAGCCTTCATTCATTCATTCACTCCCAACAAACGCATTCACGCCGTGAAAACATGTGTTCGTTCCCAGTTAATCAACACATGGTTCTCCGCATATCTTATTTTACCCTATAAAATGCGACATCTGCGTGTGACCATTACGCTATTTGCCTGTTAGATATGTTATGTCATATAAATTATACATCAATGGTATATATAACACGTTTGAAGAAGCGCTTGCCATTGCAAAACTCAAATAAATGTGCCCCAGAAGCCCTGTTATTTAAGCAAAGCAGCATATTATGATTTAATGGAAATTTTCAAAGAAAAATTCTACATAAAGCACCATAACTTGGTATAAAACGTTTATATTTCCATTGTAGTTTAGTGACCAATCGCTGGGCCATTGATACCTTACACTTTCGATCTGGAGAGCAGCTTATTGTATTTCAATAATTTCCTCTCAGGAATAAAAGCTCATAATGTTCTACAGGAACATAAAAGGGTGTTATTTATTTGTCATGACTTGTCCACGGGTTGATGTGAGCGTTGTAGGCCGTTTAAACTATCATTTTAATCAGGTCAGGAAATCAAAATCGCATCTCATTGCAATATAAATTCTTAAAAGAAATAAAATCACGTCGATAATCAGCTCGTTGACTATTCAATTACAATGTCCTCAAAACAAAGATAATTATTCAATTCCTATAGCAGGAACACTTTCATTCTAACTTTTCTGAGCGTAACATTTCAGAGGGCCGAGTTTGTTATAACAATTGATTTATTCGCTCAGTTTGAGACACAAATTTTTCTTGTTCCGTATCAGGGGCAGCCAGCGTTTGATAATCATGCAAATGAGATTAATTTAAATTATTTTCGATGCAAATACATCCAGCGGAGCTCCAAAGAATCGATCATTAAATAAAATTAGTTTAAAAGTTTCGTAATAGAAATGGCTGTGAATATTAACATACTAGTCACAGAGGAAGAACTTTCAAACAACACTTTAACTCGGAATAATTTTATATAAAATTATGCATTAAACTAGTCTTTTCTTTAAAATTTCATCTCAGAATCGTAGAGAAGCATTTTTTTTAAATTAGTCATTATGATTTATAAATTTATTCAGACCAGTGTCAAGAAATTGTTCTCAATCAGCAACGCAATTTCTTAAAGAATTATTTCTGCAGAGTCTCATGCAGCAATTAAAACTTGAATTTGTACTCAAGAAGAAAAGACAAGCGGTGCATTGATCTCTGCCAGTAACAGAACTACAGTTCAGGCATTTACAATTAATTAAATTTGTTGCAATTACAGTGTGATTTAAACGGCAATTAGGAGATGATTTAAACCGGCAAAAAAATTCGAGCCTTGCATCACACGAGGTTTTGACCACAGCTGCAATAGAACTTCAGAATGTTTTTTTAACTAGCGGGCGGCTGAGCTAAAGAGTCTGGGCAGGAACGCAGTAGCACAGTTCGCTAGTAACGCTCGAGATTAGCAACGGCGAAGCACGCACAAGAAACACTAGCTCGGGTGCAAGTGAGGTTCAGTATTTCCAGGAAGCAGCTAAGCCAACATAAGCAGCTAAGCCAGCATAAGCTTGCATCGTAAATCAGATGAACGACCGCTCACACAGAATTTCCCTAAGGCTTTCTCGGTTCGCAGCCGCAGCGGTACAACTTGAGGCTTGCTCCTGCAACACAGACTACCTGCTCCGCTTTTATTGTTGTAGTTAATAAGAACGAAGGCATCTGCAATGCCGTTTTACCTACACAACAAAGACAAACCATTTGCGTCTTTAACATGAGCAAAAACACACGTTCCAACATGCAATGATCATTATTTCCACTAATATTAGCTTGACAACTCTACCTTCATTAAATTTGATATATGTGTGAGTTTAAGGGAATGTGTAACAAGCTCGGTAAGATAAATGCAATTTGCGAGGAACTGGCCGAGCGAAGTTCAACCAAGAAGCCCACAGTTGTGTGCTAAACTTGGCAAGTTGCAGAGCAGCACGAGCGTCCGTACTCACGGAACTCTACGTGTGACTGGCGGGACCAACGAAACTTCCGATCCGTAGAACCCGGCAGAACTTAAGTTGCAAACCAGAATGCATGAAGTAACTAAAAGCTTAAAATATCGTAGAATATTACAAAAATTCATATCCAGAGAACTAAGGATGTGGAAAGAAATGAAAAATGACCATAAAGTGTTAAATTAGAAACCAGCTTCAAGAACAATATGAAAAAAGTAACTGGCCGCATGATTATTCAGACTCAAACGATATTAAAATTTAAAAACTACGATAATATTTCAGTTAAATCAAAATCCTAAACAAAGTGCAAAGATAGACCAAATAT